TTATTATTATTATTATTATTAATAAAATCAAGAAATTACACATTATTTTTTGATATGAGAGCAAGTAAACAATATATATATATATATATATATATATATATATATAATATGTTTATTTTCTATTTTTTATATAACTAATTTTTTATCTTTAATCCTTGTACAACTACCTAAATACTTACATCCTTTTTACAAGGTCTAATTTCAAACTTTGAGGTTTATTTTTTTCATAGATAATAATTAAGATTATATATATATATATATAAACATATATTTTGTGAAGGAAATTTTATAACAAAATATGATTTTGTTTAAAACTAATGCATGATTAACATTCAAATTGTTTTATTTTCTTACGGTTTAAATTCTTTAAAATCTTTGTAATATAAAACTTACTTCATTATATTTGAATTCAATGTGAATTTTATTATTGGTTATTTTTTATCTAATTTTAAAATAAATAATATATCAATGATAGAACTTTTTTTCTTAAATAAACATTTGTATTTTTTAAATGAAAGATGTATGATATAAAGGTTCTATTGTATGGTAAATGAAGTAATATATATCATGTAAGTGTTTTATTTAAATTTGGATAATAGTACTAGATACAACTTGTAGATTTATAAATTCAAGTTATATTATTTTGAAACATTGTTACATCTTTTGGACAACCTTTTCTTTGACCACTCTTTAACTATGGGCTATAAAGTAAAAACAAACAAAATGAAATATTTTAACTTTTGTTCAAAATATTTATTTGATTAAATAAATAAAATTTTATATTAAAAAATTATCCTCTCTATTATATAATATAGATATTACTTATTAATAGCTTATTTATTACCATTGAAGAAAATTATTATCTGCACTTTATTGAAAAGGACTAATATAAGCATCAACAATTCTTTGATACACTATTAAATTAATAGTCTATATATTCAACATCTTTTCTTAATACATCTCGTCCAACACATTTTATTCATCCACTATCTTCAAACACAATATAAAAAAATTCAATTTACTTTCATATTTAAATAAAGTTGGTGCATATATATATATATATATATATGAATATTAAATAGATCTAAGTTTTTACTAAATCAATTCACTCATCATAACCATTATAAAAAAATAAATGACTTCAAGATTCATTTCTCTATTATTGAATTTACAACGAATGAAAATCAACCACGTTCATCATGATTACCATATTCTTCATAAAGATGGGTCTATTTGATAAAATCAAGAATCTATTTAATATTTTTTTATATTTATATAATAAAAATGCTTAAAGAGACAAGTGGTAGCTTTCATTTATCGCATGGATGGATCTTTGTTTTTATAAAAAAAAAAATCACCTTTTTTAGAATTCACATGTTATTTTGTAGAGTTCATATACCATTTTATAGGGTGTTCTACAAATTTTTTTTATAATTCATAGGTTGTGAATAGTTTATAGGATTAATTGTGATCCCACTGTAGACAATAACCATTTCCATTTATTTTTGCAAGTTCTACTTAATGCTAGAATAAACTTTGTCCATATTTTTAAAGCTCAATTGTGTTACAGAATGAATGTCTTCACTTCGCTTGATTCCTTAGAATTATTGACTACAAAGTTTTATCAATCAACATCTTTCTTCTATTTTTGACATTCATTCATGTATTTTGATCTGGACTTTTGTGGTATTTTACCAATGTTGTGATAAAGTGTGCTTCTACTATGATATAAACGCACAAGGAATGATTTGAATAACGATCTTCTAAATGCTATGCTTGCCATTTTTCTTCTTTAAAATAGTAGATTTGAAATTTGAGCACTTTTAAGATATCAATAAAATGTGTAGTTTCATTATAAGCATGTATGGTCAAATCCTTCTTTATACAACATCTTTGAACTTTCTAACTATAAAGCAATATCTTTGGAGATGCATAAGCGGCTAATCAATTATTATTATGATCATTTATTTATCTTCATTTATTACCTTGAATGCAAACTTTGTGAAGCCTAACATATTCAAAAAAATTATAATATAATCAACATTGTGATCAACAAACATATTCTAATTTATTTTTTTCAAATTTTGGTTGTATGATTTGGTGTTATTGAATTACACTTGTAGAATTTCAAACTTTCCAACTATAAAGTAATATCTTTGCAAGTGAATCAATTATTGATTCATTTAATATGATTATTTATTATATCAATACTTTTTATTTTTATTTTTTCTGTATTTAGCTATTGCTGTTTTTTTTTCATCCATTAAACATTGTAATGTATCTACCAAAAGTTTTTATTTTTTATATTGCTGACAACCATGAACATCTTATGATCACTCAAAAGCTTCATATCTACTATAAGTTTTTATTTTTTTTACTAGTGGCATCTGTATATTATGTTTGAATATTACATAGTTGAAAATTCCAAGAAACATGAAGTTTTTGCAACAAAGTTATTAAAAATGATTGAGTAGACAACCAACAAATGTTATCATATTATGTATCATCCTATTTGAGAATGCATCGGGCATCTAGCTATAGAAGGTGAGATTGTGTTTTACAAGTATTCAAGAATCTTAATATATTTTATTCTTATAAGAAGAATGTTATTTGAATTTTAATTAAAAAGTGCTTAAATCCAATACAAAATGCTCAAAAATACTCTTCTTAGTAATTTCAACCATACATAAACTCCAATTGCCTTATTACTTTCATAATTAGGTAATTTTGAATTTTCTTTGCAAATCTTAATCCTAATTAGCAAGCTTTAGCAAACTATAGCTCCTAATCTAACTATCCACTTGGAGCACAATTTTGCACACAAATGCCATTATAAGTCTTCTATGTGCTTACAAAGAATTCATCTCAATTCAATTTACAAATTGTGAGAAAATATCCAAAAACCATAATGATATTACTTGGCCAACAACTTGAAAGTTGATGCAAACGTTCCAATAGTGATTTCTTCTTTTTCAACTATTAACTTCAACTCAAAATTGGTATATAGCTTAATCTTAAAGCCTTATAACACTATGCTAAGTTTCACTTTAATCCAATTGGTAGATCTTCAGATATCATAGAAATCCTATTCAATCCTAACTTGCCAACTTTTGATACCTTCTTGTATTAAAATCCAAATATCTCTCAACTCCGATGTTAGATTATCACAAAATTTTACATACACTTAGCACACCTAATTAACCAAGTACTATCAACTTTTAAACTATAACACCAATTTTACAAACTAAGTAAGAGTGCGAGTCCTAATTATATTGTATAAATTTCAAGTTGCCAATACAAACCTTGACTTTGAACAATAATTGCAAAATCAAACCAAATCCTATAAAAACAAGCCTTATGTCTTTGGAAGAAGTTCTAAGCCAATTCTCCAATCCTAATCGCTGAACTTTGAATGCCTCTTTATTTTGTCCTAGGCCATTGTTTTAGTAGCTAGAGGTCTAATTTTGACCTTATTTCACAAACGATTGACCCCCGGATATCACTCTAACCTATCTTAGGAGTTTATTAGCCCAGCCCTATCCTCAACTTAACCCTAGTATCAACCATGCTAATTATTTATCTCTTCTAACTTGATTTTATCAATTTATGGTTTTTCTAACATAGTAAAAGAGTCTCTATAGCCTAGAAGGTAAAATTACTAACTAATCTTTAACCTACTAACTATTAAAACAAGAAAATAAACTAAGAGGCTTTTATAAAAGCCATGTTTAAATATCTTGAATCATTATTGAATCAAGATAATTAGATATTAATTAGAAATTTATTTTTGATTATATTTTCACCATATTACAACACAACAATACCACCATTTCTATGAATTTTATATACATTCCTTCTTTGTCAAATAATTAGGTGCTAAATTGGAATTTGGATTTGAAGCCAATAATTTACCTCTTCACTTTGTAGTTAATCTAAAAAAAATCTTCCTCAACTTCCTAAAGGATTTTAGATACATATTGATCTTGTGAATTGAAGTCCTCTTGCATCTAGATTTTGCTAGTTTTTTCATGCATTACAGTTTGGATTTTTGAGAGTTTGTGTTGAGGTGTATATTTTACAGACATGTCAAGGTGTACGTTTTATTTTTTCTCATGGTCAACTTTATGTAGTACTCTCTTGATGCACTTCCTCCCATTCTATCAAGATTCTTCTTCTTGGAAACAGCAATTTAAATTCCACGTTGAATATAGTTTTTTCATAAGTTTTAATGAAATAAATATTAGTAGTTTATTTTTTTATTTTTTATTTTAATTTATTTATCCATAATTCAAGAACTTGACTTTAGTACATCTTTGAATGTCTTACTACACTTTTATTATTTTTTAATGTAATTCAATGTTTAATTTTATATTTTCACAAGTAGTTCCTTGAACAAAATTAACTACTTTTTGCGTATTATCCATGACAATGGCATGGGTTTAGCTATCCTACTTCATAGCTGAAGCTCCATTGTGTATTTTATTTCTTTCTTTCCTAAATTTTTTTTAAAAAATATTCTTTGGCTCACAAACATATCTTTCAAAAAATGCTTCATTTGAGTTGCACTTTTTGTGACTGCACAGGTTCATCCAGTATATATATAAATACTAATGCTGCCAAACTTGAGCGATGTGTGTGGGGGGAGGTCCAGTTGGCCGTGGTGGGCAGAGCAGATGCGGCGAACGGGCGTCAGACATGGCGCCACATGACGGAGGGACTTTCTGTGGACTGCGCACCAGACGCTTCCCCGTCACGCGCTTCTCATGGCGTCGCGAATCGGTGGTCGAGTTTCCACATCGAAAAAGTACCTCAAACACACCTCCCTCCCTCCTTCCATTCCATTCCATCAGTTTTTCATGTGCGTCTGACCCCTCGTTGTCACCGTGGTTGCTGCTTTGACCTCACCACAGCACCCGCATCTCTTCCACTTGGCCGCCTGGTTTTCTGGGCCCTTATGATTCACGGATCGCTGCACGGGCGTGACAGAGCACCAGGTCACACTCGCTCTGACTTTGCCTCATGTGCTCGAGATATACCCTGAACTGCTGTCCGAAATCCCCGCTTCTATGCCATTTTGATTTTGGGGATTGGACAGTGAATCTGCGCCGGAGTTTTTACTCTAGATTGCTCCTCTGGGTCGGTGTCCAATCGTTTTCCTTGCGATACTGGAGCCTCTAGTATCCTACCCCGGGTTTCTCTCCACTGTGATTACCAGATTGCAGTGTTGTTCGTCAGATGTTGGCGTGCGCCTTCGCATCATTTTGTGAAATCAGTACTGTGTCAGTGTATGTGGTAGTCACTGCGCCGCCGCCGCCGCCGTGGTGGTCGTGGTGGTGTCGAGAAGTGGCATGTGGTTGGCCTTCGATTGTTTGTTGCCTTCGGAGCCTATGACAGGTATTGAGACTTGTCTCAGAACAAGCAGACTGATGGTGTATGAGTCCTCTAAAAGTGGTGGAATACGGGTTGTATTACTTAGCTGACTGGTCTCTGATCCCGCTTCACTTCTGAGAAATTGGCTTTGATCAAACGGATCCATACAGCATAGCACTTCGACGTCTTGGTCGTTTGTCTTCACCAGATTTTTGCATGTCATTTCATATGTAGCTTCGAAGCAATTGGTTCTAGTTGACTGTTTCTTGCTCAGGCAAGAGGACTAGTGCCGCATTTCCCCATAATTTACTGACTACTTTCATGTGTCGTCTGCTTTATGGACTGGGCTTGCAGAGTTATGATATTAGCTCCTTTCATGGAAGGAGTGTGTTCGTCGTAGAGGACACTTTTCTTTGCGAGTGGATTCTTTGGACTTCGGGGTTGTTGTGAAACCACTCTTGTTTGAGGTTTCGTTCTTTGTTCCATGTGCGCTCACATGTTCGTAATTGGGTTTGTCAATCTACCATCTGTAGGTTTTGAACTTTTCGCTTAGTTGGGTATCAGTGATCTCTCAGCTTGGAACAGTTATGGATCTCTAAGAGACTGGAGAGTTGTTCACAAATCTGGTCCGCTTTCAAGTCTTGTCAAGCGCAAGTTATGCAGTTTAACTAACTATTTGTTTTTAAAATGATTCTCAGGTTCTCGGTCCATCGGGCTGGGTTGTCTCACATATTCACCGACATCACAAATTAGTGGCTCTCTTTAAGCTGTTAATCCTTCTGGAATCTTACAGCCTTCAAATCTATGGAGCTTTTGCCTCATTGAGAGAAGTCTAGTTAGGACCGAAATAGAATAGCTGAAGCATCAAGTAACAGCCCAAATGGACACCATAAAAGTTTGTGTGAGTAATTTATGGGCTCTTCAGGAGCGCCGTTACTCTGTCGTTTACTTAACGGTTACGAGGTTTGTTCGTACCGTGATGCGGCTCATTCTTCGCAGCACTCCGAGATACTTCTGGTGGTACTCTACGTCTTTCAGATTGTCCTTCTTCTACGCGTGTGGCCTTCTGTTGCTCCGATCAATACTGTGTATTTTGTTCTTACTATATCCAGGTCACACTGTGCTCAAAACGGCTTGCAATCTATATCCCACAACTTAATTTGTAAATCAGTGATTTCCAATCCTTTCCCGTATCTCCTGTTGATAACGTCGTTTCTTTGAGATGTATGTTTATTCGATAGGTCTCTCAGAGGACCCAGCAGTACTGTTATATTGCATGCGAGTTGGTGTGAAAATCACCCATAATCATTCCAAGTTGGGAGTCATTATGATAGTTTTCTTTTGGAAGTACTTTGGTTGACATCTAGTCCAAATAATGCAAGTGAGGTATGCTGAGTTTGGGTGGTTCGAAAGAAATTCCAGATTTCACAGTTTTTAATCTACTTCTCCTGCTGCCTACAGTTGAGAACGTAGGACGAGGTTGGCGTATTTAGGCTGCTTTTTCGTCTCTACACATCTTGCCAACAAGGATGACCATGACTGTGGCAGCGCTGACAACAGAAGACCTGGTGATTCAAAACAACACTGAAGCTAGATAATTGAATCAACTCAGTTCTTAAAGCTCGTGCAGTGCAGATGCCAGCCACAATGTTGTGGTGGGTACATGAGATTCACGGCTTCATTATTTTTCCCTGTAGCATCATAAATACATTCCAGGAGTAGCAAGTATGACGTTGGACTCATGCTATTGTTGAGTCCTGGCGGATATGTATAAGAGATAATTTAGGTTAGCACTCGGTTTTAGGTCCATCAAGTTTGGTTGGTCTTAGAGACTACTATTCTTGGAGTTATTTGGATTTCATGAGGATGTTGTGCACATGTTTCTTTTCAGAACCATGAGTCGTGTTTTTGCAACACTAAATTATTGTGGGATGTTATATCCTTGAGGCCATCACTGAACTGAAAATGGTTGTATCATCTCAGTGAAGTTGACTTTTTCAGGATATCTCTTCATTGGAGGTTCGTTTACAGGCTCTGCATTTTCAAATGTGAGCTCAAATTATAAATGTTATTGCTCTTACTGGATGGCTGAGTATCTTTTGTTTTTTTGACATGAACAGCACGGAATTGGACATTTTTTATGGAGGCTGAGCATAATGGTATATGTGGTATCTTTGTCTCATAACATTTCTTTTGGGAAGATATTGAGAAATTCATGTATTGTCTGCTACTAATAACTGCTGCTTGTGGTTGAGTAGGCTTCAGAAAAAATATACATAAGCTGATTGTTGTGGATAATTGATTTCTACTCATCCATAAATGAAAGTGCTTAAATGCTTTGTATGCCTTTTAAATTTTCACACTTTGTTTTATCTTATGAACTGTTTTATTCCAAATTCAATTTCTTACAATCAAATGTAGGCTAAAAATTTACTGTTAATATATGAAGTAACTAAATGTGCTTAATATTAGACTTTTGATTCTTGATCACAATGATTATAGTTGCACCAATTCAAGTTTGCATTTATGTAATTATGAAAAAAGTAATTAATTAATTAAGACTTAAGTTTTACATGCAAAATCAAAAAAAATGTGCTAGAAAAATTGCAATGAAGACCAAATTCTTTTGGAAGATGCTTTTAGAGTTGGTAAGTTTAAATAAAATTAAAAATTATATCAAAGATAGTAGTAATGTTTAACTTCTATTGATGGTTTTAACATGCATATTAAGGCTTTCATTCTTACTAAGTTATTATTATGATTAGCAAAATAAAGGTCTATTGTAAAGAAAATGTTAATATAACTATTTTCCTTTGATTCCAAATAAACATCTATTATAAAGCAAGGTGAGGGATTTGAGGAGAGAATAGGACTTGTATTAAATGTTGCACAAGATTCTAGTTGTACAACCCCTAATGTAATTTGACAAACCTGTTTTTTAAAACCTTGTCTTCTTTAGTAACTATGCTCTTTATTTTGTAATTGTGTTGATTTTTTAAAAAATATTGAGAAATATGTTTTGATTCTTTATAATATTAGCATAATCCTTGTTAAAGATGTCAGGCCTTTTTATACTTACTAAAAAGTTTTAAATGTACTATATCAATCTTCATTAATTTAGGCTTTAATAAATAAGTGTTAAAAAATTCAAGAATTGTTGTCATAACTTGACTTATACTTCTTTAACCAAATCTTTGTTCTTATTGTCTTTGAAAAAATTGATTATTGCATGCAATGGCTTGAGCAATGAATTATTTTGATGAATTTACTTTTGACATTGTCAACGATAAATCTTTAATATTACATTTTAATCTATATTAAAATTTATTGATAAGGACTTTATCATTCTAATCTACATAGCAAACAAGGTTTTGGAATTTAATAGTATATATGATGGCTGAATATAATCTTTATTGTAAAGATAAAATTTTGGTCTTTATTAGCTTTTTAAAATTTTTATATAAATATGGCCATAAGTATTTTTAAAAACAAATTCAAATAAAAAAGTAATTATGAATCATTTTTTATTAAAAGTAAAAACCAAGAAAAAGTACTTCTAGATAGAAGTGTATCTATAGATCCAACTTGAGTAAATCCGTCAAAATATTGAAAATGATTCAATCTTAAATAGAGCTTCATATGATGTAAAAATCCTCAAAATTTTGATCTTGTTCTATCAAACTTTTGCAACATACTTATCCTTGTGTCCCTCATACTTATAGTAATAAGACTTCTTAGATTTAATTTTCAAATTAATTTACTTGCTTTCCTTAATTATACAACTTCTTGGCATAGATTTTAAACTTCATTGTTAATTTCTTCTATAGATATAGGAATAATACCTCCATTGTTGACATTAGTAATACATGAGATTTCTACCATAAGAATGTTGAAAAAATTGTGGAGATATGCAATAGTTGCAAATCTATTCTAACTTCTTTTAAGAATAGCATTCATAATTTTTTCTTTTGTTACTACAATACACCACTTTAAAAATTTATAAGTTAAAATAAAGGAGAATAATTAACAACTTCTAATACAAAATAATTTTTTAAAAAGAAGAATAGTCTATTCTTTTAAGGAAAAAATAAATATAAGAAGATAAAAAAATATTGATTTAAAGGTGGATAATTGACAATCTTCAAAGTACAACAAATGAAGTGGAATAATTCATTCACTTCTAAAATAAAATAAGAATAATGAATTAGCACTCTTGTCAAAATATTAAGGGCATGAATTTGGAAGAATCAAAAAATTAATATATTCTTGTGTCACTCAAAAAAAAAAAAAATGCTATCAAAATTAAAATAGTATTAAAATTAGAATGACTATTACCAAAGAAAAAAAGACTAAAAACTTTTGAAATAAGATTAAGAATAAGAAAGGCATTGACAAGAATAAAGAAGGCTTCACTCTTATTTCCATATATACTATCTAATTAAAAGCTACATCGTAACATTCTATAGGATCTTCAATATATATCTAACTTACAAGCCAAGGTTACTACACATGTGCCATATGGCCAACTTGTACTACAAATTGCTAACATATTCAACACATTGGTGTATTGTGATTCGGCTACTATGTAAAAATAATATATATATGTATATATATATATATATATATATAATAAAATTTATTATACAATGTAATAAAAGTCATATTATTAGATTTTAATTAATCACAAAATATGATTAGATTACTACTTTGAAGTAGTTAGTTTAAAAGTTCTATTATTGAAGTTGATTTTATGTTGATAATAATTTTATATATTTAGAGCCACCTTTATTAGACATTGGTGGTTCTTGTAATCTTATTTTGTTTCTTTTATTTCATGTTTAGGACATATATTATATAAATCTTATAAGAAAAAGAGTTGAAGAAGAGTTTTGGTAGCAAAAGTAGTTAGGACATCTATATGGATGAATGGAGATGGATGATAAAAATCTCGATTGCTATTGGCCAATAGGCATACCTAATGGACTTCAAGGAGGTTGCTTGAGGCCTTATTAGGAATTAGGATTATTCTTTTGAAATCATTCGAACCTAAGAGGCTAGAATCAAATAGTTTAGGATTTAAGCTATGGTTTTGGTACAAATTTTGGATGATTTGGAGTTTTTATGAAAGAGATATAGGTACTCAAAATTAAGGTGTTGGTTTTATACTTACAATCATTCTTTTGGACATAATGCACTTATATGGAAAGCAATGAAAGATAGGCAATTGAGGTTGAAGAAATCACTTTTTTGGCTATATTTTTTATGTACTACTTGATGAATTCTAAGCTAAGATGAAAGAATCATAGGAAGTTGAAGTCAGTGCTTGCAATCTAAGCGCAATAAGTAACCTGATTTACTAGTGGTTGTGTTTTGAGCTATATCTTAAGCAATTTGATAAGATTTTGGCTAAAAATTTCTAAGAATGTGTATTATTATGTTACTAAATTTTATACTCAAATTTTGTGGCTTTTGGAGTTTGAATTTTTGAGATATAGAGAAAATAGGGTTTGAATGCTTATAAATTAGGATTTAAAATACTTGTTAGGATTTTTAAGATGCTAGATGATTTAGAGTAGATTTATGATTTATTTCTTTTGTGATAAAGCTTAAGAATAAAGTCCAAATTATTTAGAAAGTTTAGAAAAATTGAATAGTTGGATCAAGAAATATGAATTTCTAAAGTTTGGAGAGAAAAAATCCTTTGTGAGAGAAAAATATTTTAAAAGGATTTTGCTACAATTTGGGTATTTTATGCAAAGTAAAGGGGGTTTTGAGAGTCAAGACTTTATATATATATATATATATATATATATATATATATATACATATATTAAAGATGGAGATATGAAGCTATGAAAAAATTATGATATAAGGATGGATTTTTATTAGAGGATTATGGATTTTCTTTGAGCTTATTGAAAATCAAACTTATCAGTGAATAATTTAGTTATGATTTGGTATAGCAAAAGATGTTAGGGCATTTCTTATAAGTTAGTTATTTCACAGGTTAATATGTATATGAATTTATATTATAAAAATATTTTAAAAAATTATTAGTTTTTTTATATATCAATTAATATTTATTCTTATAATTATTTTACTTATTCTTGTAGTTATTTTATTCCAATAACTTGATAATCCTAAATATTTTCTAAGTATTTGAGTAATAATTTTATATCATTTATATGATAAACAAAGAAAATAAAATAAAAATAATATTAGATAAAATATCATTTGGATGAAGAAATTTATTATTATTATTAAACTTATGAAATTAGAAAAAACATCTATAATATATAACAATCAAAGATGCATTGAATTTATAAAAAATTATATCAACCACCAATTTTTTATAAAAAGTAAAATACTTTGTATTATTTTATACATAAGATGATTAAAAATGAAATAACATGATTGAAGTATTATGCATAAATATAGCATGATTAAAGATACACTTACAAAACCTCTAAAAAATATTTTAATATTTTAAAATATAAAAAAAATATCAAATAAAAACAATCAAATTTTAAAAATACATATATTTTATAAGAAAAATGGAAGTATTTAAATTTATATTAATAACTCAATTTTACCTTAATGAAGTCCTTAAGTTTCTAAAATTGTATTGTTTGAAAATAAAAGCCACCAATAAAAATTTGTGGTTCATTCTGGGTTTACTATCTCAATGAGCCTTTTCTTATAATCCTAAAACAGAGCTCAAAATCAACTCCATCATAAAATTCTTAGTCTTCCACTTCTTCAAAATAAGGATCATTCTAAAGTGTATTTCAGCTTATCTGACTGCTTTCATCTCAATTTTGAAATTTTCTCATAATGATTTTAAAATATTCCAAATGTAAACAACAGTTTTTTTAAGAAATAGCAAAAGATATTGAGAGAATGTATCAATAGTATGATGAAGTTTTGTTCACATATAATAGTCTTTTTTAGGTTTACAATATGATAGTATGCAAAATGTCTCAGGGCTTTTTCAAAAAGTAAGTTATTTCAGGGATGGAAAATTCACTGAGCATATTATTATAGCTTAAAGACTGCAAATTGTCTTTCTATTAGTGCCTTGAACCCATAATTAGTGAAATTTGTGCAACCTTGGTGCAGTTAATCTTTAAGAACACAAGTTTACAAGTGCCAATTGTGATTTATATCCTTCAGATGAGCAAATGCAAGCTTACCAAACATTGCAACAGTTTCAAGGGTGACCATGGAATAATTGACAGGTTAATTGATTGCATAATACTAATTACTAGGATCAGAAATCAAAAGGTCGAGAGAATCAATTGCAAAACCACATTATAACTCAGGAAGGACAGCAAATGTGGTTGTCAAAGATCTGGATATTGGCAATTTCCAAAGCCTAGAAAACAGTATTTTGATAAGCAAAATGAGAATTGTGTTGAGTACCCAAATCCTTAGTTAGGCTGATCAAAAGTTAGGGCTTCGAATGTAATTGCAAAGCTATTGTCCAAGTCAAAAAGTTCAGTTCACCAGCTCAAGTGGTCCTACATGTTCCAAGTTCAACACTAGTGCAACAAAATTTCTAAGCTACTCATTGGGAATTTTTCTGCTGTTGTTACATCATACAGGTGCTCACAATTCCTGCTTTCATACAGGATTCCTTTGTATACTGCACGTCCTGTTTAAGGGCTGCATGTTTGTAGTTGACCTGCTAGTTGGCAGGCTTTGGTTCCTCCACTGGATTTTCGCGGGTGGTATTCTAGCTCTGGTGCACAAAGCTCCATATTTGTGAACAGAGGAGTTTCCCTCTCAATTTCTTTAGGAGGCATTGGTGGCGAGAAAAGCCGGTATCAGTTCTCACCATCCAGAAGCAATAAATGTCTTGAAAATTTGGACTGTTGCCCACCTGTTATGTCATCTACAAAGAAACCGTGTTACAACCTAAACTGCTGGGATATATTAGATCCCAATCTTGAAGAAAATTACACAAGAAATTTTTGACCTCATTTTAGTTAAAACCACACTATCAAGATTTCGAATGTCTTCAAAATCAAGCCTTTCAGGTATCCGTTGAAATAATCTGACTTTCAATTTGATAGCTTTGTTCATATTTCTTAACTTAATATCTGACAAAGCAGAATAGTGTCCAACCTTAGTGTAAGCAAAACCACATCCAGGTTTTTCATCATGACGGGGGTATTAGGCAAACAGAGCCTGAAAGAGTTACACAAATATAAAAAGTAAAAATAAATAAATAAATAAATGGTCAATAATTATAGCTAGAAAAGTAATGCCTGAGAACTCTTCTGGCCCATCATTTGTTACGATACCAGTTATAAACCCTCTTTTTTTATTTTTCATTACTCTATGTTAATAATGAGGAAAAATAAGCATTGAATTTAAACATCATTTGCATTGGAAGTAGCATGTACAAACCTTTGGCTGGGTCTTGGTCCAAGGCTTCATGTGCTGTAAATTGCCTCTCTTGCAAAAGAATGGACTTGCCACTAGATCCATGCTTGTGATCAAGATGTTTCGACCCACAACACCCAGAACTATCATTCTGACACTTTTTATCAAGGAAATCCCAACTACCACCTGTGGCAACCTCAGATGAGGGGACATCCCAGCCACCATCACTGCCAATGTCTTGAATGCAGTTTGTACCCCAATTTCTGTTGTTCTCCACGTTTCTTATGATTCCTTCACAAAGAGTTGGAGCCAAAGATAATAACTTTGATTGGTAATAAAATAACACAGTGGCAGTAAAAGGAGCAACAAGATGGAATGTTGTCACTTAAAAAACTTGGAACAAACACATGGACCCAAACATACCTGTTGTTTCAACCATCACAACTTCTTCATTTTTGGAATTCTTTGATGTATCATAGCATTTGAATCCAGTTGCATCAGAGGAAACATTGTCCAAGCTTCTCAGTCCAGGCACTGTATCTATATCATCCCAACCACCACCTTGATAGCTTGTTGGCTGCCATGCTCCTAGCTCTTCATCAGGTTTTATGTCACTATTTTGATAGATTTCCTCCTTAATCCAATCTATGGGAACATTTCCGTCAACTGCTGTGTCAGAGACTCCCCTTTGATCATCCACACTACTGTTTCCATGGTTCCTGTCATCTAGTCCTTCGTTGCAATCTGAAACACGCTGTGGCGAAAACCCTGCTCCATCGTCAAACTCCAGGTTTCCTTCAGGCAATATATGCAGGTGTGGGGGTAAAAGGGTTGGCATAGATGAGATAAATCTATCAGGTATACATTCATCCTCTAAGTCTTTCAGGATTGTGTGCACGTCCTTTACAGCTTCTTTTGATGCTCCAAATCTCTGAATCCCCTGGAAGATTAACGGAACTTGTTTGAGATCAAACAGTACCAGAACCATGAGTGCATAGAAGACAATGAATTTCTGAAGATGACTCCCTATGAGCAAACAAATATTGGTAAATCGTTGTTTTACAACACAACAAAGGAAACTTTTGACTAAAATTCTTGGGAATATTTTATAATCGAGCACCATGTATCATGCAATCATAAATATACAGCACACTTGCTGAAATAAGGAGCACTGATTGCTTGAATATAAGATTATACACTTGCCTTGGGTTTCTGCCAGAACAAACCAAAATTGCCTCCTGTACCTAAAGGAGCTTCCTTGCCCCAAATACAGTTTGTCATCACACCTTCCACTGAATCAGTAGCACCTCTTCCTGCTGCACCCAGAAGAGTTCTGATTGGTTGCTGTAACATCAGGCAGTGAAAATGTCATACAGGAAACTAGACCAGAAACTACTTGCCAAAGATTATAACTTGAAGAACTTGAAGGGGAAGACAAGCAGCCATTCAGAAAAGATCAAAACTAATTGTATTAAGCATAGAATATATCCACAAAATATACACTCTTTTAAGTGAATTAAGATCTCATGCAAATTGGTCAATCCTACAGCTAATCAAGAACAAGCAACTGCACTAGCCTGAAATGATGCTTCAGAAAATGGAGCTGAAACAGAAATACTTCTGTTCATATCTTTAAAACCAGAGAAGGTGAACCCAATTGCATCTCCAGAAAATGTCATCATCTCTGCTACCAATTTCACATGCACAAAATGTGTATGTGGGGCAGTCTTTTCCAACACCAATCCAAGTCTCTGCTCACAAGCAAAAAGACAGTAAGCCTGACTGAATAGCAAAGTTAGGACCTTCATTCAATTTCCATTGTAAGGCCACAAATACAATTAGTTTTTTGGACCATGATTTTTACTCAGATAAATAAAATGACTCGTACCTGCACAACGATCTGGTAAGCAACTTCAATGCCCAAGGAACACCGGATCTCTTGGATACTGTAAGGCATGCTTCTGTTCCAATCAACTAAATCCTTCAGAGAAACACATGCTTGCTTCACTGATGCCCAAGCCATGCCCCTTGATTTTGAAGATGAGGGAGATACGTAAACTTCTAAAACCAGCTCCTCATCAAGATTCCCAGTGCAATGGGCAAACCTCCTGTGCCAGGTTGTTGAAGCTGGTCCCTCGCATACTACTCTTACTGTCTCTATTCTCTCATCACCTGCAAAATTTAGGTGCTGATTAAACCAACTGATACCTATGCAGAGACTCAATTAGACGCATAGTTATTAGCATAGTATTACTTTGACCCTATCTCAAATTGGGTCACGGAAAGTAAATGTAAACATTCCCAATTCACTAAAGAGCTTAAAGTTACACTAGAAAACAGCAAATTTTCATATCTGCATTTAGAAAATGGTTGAAAGTGCATTTATTTGAACCTTTGTGTAAAACAATTCCTAAAAATTATCATTTAAAATATGCTAAGGGCCACTTCGTAAAAAACCAAAGTAAAATAATGACCATAATTAAATTTACAATAACCCCCTCAAGTTAGTGGTTGTGTTATGAAAACTGTGAACATTTTCTCTTTTTAACATTTAGTACTTTTAAATGAACTCATGAATAAAATGTAATAAAAGATTACATCCAAATACTCTCCAAGCGTGAATTTAACTTAATATTATAGAAGCCCTTGATGTGCTTTATTTTTTCACTGGTTTTCCTTACAGAATCAAAGTATTTTAGAATCGGTGTAAGCCAACATGAAATTAACATGCGCTTGAGTTAATCCGGACTGGATCTCTCTCTTTTTGATTGTATCTTGCTGTAACCAAATCTTCCCATCACATCTTATTGACTAATACGAATTACAACATTGCGTACCTTTCATTGTGCAATCAAGAAGTCCAGGTATTATAGTTTCCTGGATCCTCAGTAGTAGATCCAGTAAAGCTTTGTTATACCTGTCCTCATTTGAGCAATGGCGCATTTTGATTGGTAAACTTGGAGAAAAATGAAGGCAATATCCATTGGAGAAGCTGCAGTTATAACTGCATACATGTTGCAAATGCATTTTAGTTCCCAAAAGCAAACCATCCAAAACTATTTCCATGCTCCTCAACACAATACCAAGAATAGCTAAACTTTATCAAACTGAAAAGAGGATTTCTCCGTTCAATCAAACTTCAGACTTCCAAAAAGCCAAGAAAGGGATCTTTGACTGGCATTCCTGTTGAGATTTAAAGTCAGCTTACCTGTGACAGAAGAATATTTGACCCATTTTATTCTTCTTCAAAACGTAACCTGCAGTTTGACTGAACTTCTGACAAAGCCGCTTAACAATATCCTCAACATTCACTTCACACTGTTTCATTGCATCCTGCAATCAAAAAACTCAGGGTAAGCAGCTATGATTGCTAGAGGTTTAGCTTCAACTTCTGACAACAAAACTTACGACTTGTGACAGCGATATATCGAAACCTAGACAACAAAGACGGAAAAGCCCCTATGAAAGACATTGATTCGACAAAAAAGAAAGCATTGAACATAAAAAAGAATACTATGTAAAACTAATTCATAAGGTAGGAAAATATGATAAAAAACGCATTTCAAAAGCTTGTGTTCGGTCAATATGGTAGGTAGATTTCCAGAGCAATTCTTCCACCTTATTAAGTAGTTTTCCTTGTTACTAACTCACTAGCCATTATCCTAAATGGCGGCATGATTTTTCGGTTGGGCTGTGTCACACTTAGTAGTCCAGTAGAAGGTTGTTTAAAATAAAATTCATCTTCTATCAATAATGATTGTTACCACTTCAATTGAACACGAGAGATTTTTCTAAAACCAGTTAGTTGCTGAGTTTGATCGTTCCTCACAGAGGACCGAGTGAATCGGGAGTATGATCAAAGTTTTGATTGCAAAAAAAAAGTTGGTAGCAACTGATTAGAAAATTGCGGAAGTTCCATAAGCAGTACGTGTGACCTCATTTCTGCAACGGAAGAAATTTCAGTTTACTTAAAACAGGAAAAAGAAAAAGAATACTTTCTCTGATTGAGTAACGTAAGATCGTAGATGAGACTCATTTGAACTAAATAAGCACTCACATCAGACTTACAAGTTCCTAATCATGCTCAGGTTGGAGTATTAATCTGACGATTCCTTAACCCAACTTACCTATTTCAACCATCCAGTCGCAGTTGCATTAGGGTGACGTATTCTGAAAATTGATTACTTGGCCCAAAGCCAAGCATTATCATGCAGACAGTGTGACCTCACATCCCTGACACCAGTATTGTGAACCAGAGACACAGGCCAAGAACTTTCAAGAATTAAGAAATACAAATCTGGTTAAGTTCAAAGAAGTCTTGCACAGAACATCGACTGTATCTAGTGCTTGGGGAATAAGAGACTGGCTCTATTTGCTGATGCTCAGTTCATTGTGAGTCAGCTAAAGTACCTGGGATAGATTTATGTGCCCTAACCAAGGTGAGCCCAATCGAACTAGGTCACCACTTGGCCCAGCCGCTCGAGAGTCTTCCATGTTCCAATACCTAGGAAACCCAAACCGTCCTTCCATTACTTCTCATAGATGAAAAATCCAAACCAATATTGCATTCAGCAAGGGCACTACAATTATTGGAACTTCAGTGTAGATAAACATACTTACTCAACAGCAACACTTTCAGCCATCATCCTCAAGTTGATTCTTTTCAGGTGAGCTTGCACTTCAAGAACCCTCCTTTCCAGACACAGTGACTCTGTGCATTCACAGTGCACAAGTCTCAACACCACACACCGATCCGTTGGCTTCAATGAGGATTTCTCGCGTGGATATAGTGTTTCCTGTTTCACGTTGGGATAACAAAGAGATTCAAATTGAGTTTCCAACGTAAGTAATAACAAGCTCTTAAACAGATACGACCAAAAATAAAAGTGAAAAACCACGCGAATCAAATCGTGAATGCATCTTTTGGAATGAGGTAAAGCTTATATGTAAAAACATCTTTCGAATGCACTCATTGTGCAAGACTTTTTTTTGCTGTAGAATTTGAACAAAGACGCATACAAACCAAATCTGGTAACAGGGCATGAAAATACAAGGAACTGAATAGTTGGCAAGTTCCATCATCTACATTCAGAAGATAACGACGAAAGGAAACGCTAGTAGATTCTCGTTTGGTTATGAAGTGAGGGTAAAGAAACTTCGAACAGAAATTATCTATTGCCCTCCAGACTCCTAAGGAAAAGGAAAAATTCAAAACACTACTACGAGATTTACCTACAACAATGAAGCCTAATAAATTGGAATCCTTCATGTCTAACTGACTTGCAAAATAGTCAAACTCAACCATGCAGAAAACTGCAGATTGTATATCAAATGAGCCAACCCGTAGCAGTAAGGTCTGTCACCATGTGACGATACTGGAAATTTGACTAACAAAGAACAGGATTGCAGTTAAGAGAAGACCTACACAAGTCTTTAGGAAGCAAATTTAGAAAACAATCACATCTACAGGGCACTTCTGCGAAAAGATCAGGTTCGTATAATGCAGCACATGTGCAAATCTCCAAGTTGTGGATAATCTCTGGAACAGTTGTGAGCAACATCAGAACCATCGAGATTAACCCACCCTTGTCGTTGACACACTTGGAACAACAAGGATCCGAGAAGCAAGAAAACCAGTCTCTACGTAAAGAATGAAGATCCAAACAAGAAAATGAAAAAATGAAATGGTGTAGAAGTTATTTTAAAGATGTATACTCCACTTGCGGTATCTATGGAGCTAGGTTTAAACCAACAGAAAGCTTTGAAGGAAAAGGATTCTCAACGTAAAAACTTGAGTACACTAGTTAAAGAAAGCGACACTGGAAGAAGGTTTTAAAAGGGCAGGTCCTGTCCCTCCACATTGATCACTACGGTAGAGGGTAGATTATCAAATAGAGGATCATGAAGCCAAATCAAAGTGATTGAAGTAGCAGTCAGCTCAATAAGGGAAAAGCCAAACTCTGAGGATTCACGAGGCATGTAAAATGGAACCAGTATAATACCTGGATAAGATTTAATGGTCGTGGCTTGAAAGGACCATTCAAACTAGGCGCATCCAACATCAACTCATATGCAGGTTGAGATATGGCTGCTGCAGCCAATACTCCAACAGGCTCCCCAGCCAAAACTGACAAAGGCCATCGTCTATGATCATCCTCTTCCCAGGCAAGAGTTTCCTCCGTTGGTTTCCGTGGAATAAGAGATCCCCGTGCTCCTCCGTAACAGAATTGGATTAAATTTTTGCTACACTGGCTGCGAACGCTGCCATCGTACATAATATGAAGATCTCGCAGAAAAAACATCAACGCCTTAAAAAGGGTCCCTGGCTGCACCACCTCCACGTGTTTCCGAAGAATACCTGTTCTATCGGCAATTACATGTCTGAATAGCTCATTTGCTTTCAACCCATCAACAAGAGAGCTTCTGACAAGCCCCATATCCTCCCACCAATCCAGCTGCGAGGAATATGTCATTGCAGGACGCCGTGAGCTTGAATACGAAAGGAGATGTTGCCCCTTGTAAAGCTGCAGCCCCATTCCTGCAATCTGCTGAAGAAGTTTTTCCATAGAACCTTTACTTCCTGACTCTACCATCATTAACAAGGAATTTCTTTGTTCTGCATACTTCGCTACAATTCTCCCAGCTTCACTTCTTCGTTTTTGAAATATCTCTCTTGCAACCTGCTCTAAGAATCTGATGTTTTTAGTCAAACTTTCTGGGCTTGGATTCTCATCAGAATCTAGTGCTTGCACTTTTGCATCAAGAATTCGCACAAAATCACATGATTCCTGAATGGATTTTAAAAAGGATTCTTCTAGGATGCTTTTAAGCATTTCCTGCCTTTTGGTGCGGTTGGGAGTGACCTGAAAATCGGTCAATCCTGTACTAAAACCTTGCACTTGTAGCCAGGTATGCAACACTCCTGTTGCAGTGTTCAGATAGTCCACGAGAGCCACTGGTCCCAATTGCACACAAAGGGCTGCTGCAACACTATCATTACCCTTGCGTAGCAGTTTAGTGCCATTTCTCCATCTTATAATCTCTCCTCCTTGGATGAAAACTTCTTCCTGAGGGGCACCTAATTCAAAATCTTCTGGAAGTGTGAGCGCAAATACCTGCTCTCCTGTCCAAAATGGACCACCTTTGGGAGACTTCAAAATGGCTGCTTCCGGAGGTTTCTTTGAAGCCCACAAACAAAGCTGGTCCATTGTAGCTTTGTCCAAAAACAATTTCTTACTTGTCAATAGATGAGCTGCCAGCAATGTATCCTACATTTACATATAGGAAAAACTCATATTAGAAACATTCTGATTTAAAACGTTGAATGCTATCAAGCTCTGTGACTAAAATAGATTCAAATGAATGAAAGTAGATTATCACCTGCGTAAGTTCAAGAAGAGGCTGTCCTCCGTGTTCAGATATTACTTGCTGTTTCACTGCCATTAATTGATCCAGCTCTGCAATGGCTTGAAGTGACTGAGGAGCGAAGATGTGAAATATATCACCATCAAAATCGGCAGAAAATGGTGGACATATCAAAGGATTTACCGTGATTGTAGGTTGATGGTGAATATGAACCTTTAAGGCCACAAGAGAATGTCTGTGGACTGATGGAGGTCTATTGACATAGACATAGTCGCCATCTTGAATATGTCGATGAACTATATCACCAATCTGCACTTTGAGTGAGGTTTTCGATAAAACTTGATAAACTACTTCATTTCGTTCAACTCTAGTAGCGTGGGCAGTATTTTCAGATTCCTGCTGAAGTTTTTGGGAAACATTGACGTACTCTTGCAACTTGGTGTGATTCCACTGGCTAGCCCTCTCCGGTAAGGTCAACTTTTGCGCGATAAGCCAAGGAATTCCTATCTGTTCTATACCTAAGAAAGGATCACCGGCTAGTACAGCTTTGGCAGTGAAATTTCCACTCTTTCCCAAAACATTCTGAGACAACCACTCCTTGGTCCAACGATGATAGTCTTGCTTCGTGACTCGACCATTCCGGTCTCTTTTCAATGGCTCTTTGCCTGGAACAGCCTGCTCCCACGAAACCAATCCCAGTTAAATTTATCAGTGTCGCCTCAAAAACATTCCCCATAATTCCCTAAGAATCCCTGGACAGATTGATTGCCAGGGCAGAAAGAGTCAACGAGCTCCAGACTATTGATTTGTGAATGAGATGACCCTGTACCTTGGGAGCTCCTTTCTCCCGCAAATACTCAGCTGTAAGTATTTGTAGCTTTGTTGATTCATCTCGTTGTGTTCTATTCGTGGCCTTCCCCGCTCTAGTTTTGCGTATGTGCACAATTTCTGCAACCAGTTTCTGCAAGGTTCTGGTCACATTATCCTGAGCACCCACAAAGGAACGGTGAGTAAGAAAATTCGTTATCCCTCAGGAAGGCCAAGCTCTGAATCTTCTCGCTGGGTTCTGCAGAATCCTATCAAACACCCCCCTCTGTATAATCTTTTATTACTACCCAGATCTTACTCCCAAGATACTGATTGTATGACCTCCAAATTTGATGATAACTAGAAGATCATCTTCTAGTGCAGATGCAGCCATTGATTAAAAAAAAACCTGACTTCTCGGAGACGCATTACAAGAAAGTGGCACATACAGTGCCAAAGCGCACAGCAGTTGTGTTGTTGACATGCTTGTAATCCGTTGTACGGGTGCAGTTGGGTGGAATGAGCACACACTTCATTATAAGACCTTCGGGACGTGCTACCAATCTGTTCATCCCAAGTTTCCCGATAGCTCCTTCAGGTATCTTCTTGAGTATAGCCAACGCCTGTGTGGATTGCATTCAACTGTGAATAGACTGATGAACTTGCATCAACTTTTAATGATATTTCCGAAGAGCTAACTATCGTCCAGATCCATGACTTCTCTGATATTCTTCATTGAAATGGAAAATATGTAAGACGACATAACTAAGCGATGATCTTTTGTTGCTTAAGCCTAATGTTTTGGTAAGCCACCACATGCGAGACAAAGCATATCAAAAACAAAACTGGAAGGCATTTATTGACGGAAACCAATGGATTCATTTCAATATAGCTCCCGATTGGCATGACCATAATGAATAAATATGATGAAGGGAAAATGTCATGAAAAATTCAGACGCAGTAGCGGTGCAACTTGCAGTCCAGCAAATAGATGCTCCACATTCATTTAACTCAAGCACTCAAGGTGCGCTATCATGCAAATTTCTTGGAAGCTGATTTGTAAGAGTATTCCAGCTCACCTCTGAAGGTAACAGGTAGTGCTGTTTAGGAACCTTATAATAATGCTGGTGGCGAGCTGGCGCACTCTGAAGGAAAGCCCAATAATCAAGTGGAAGCTCATTATCTTTCTGTTTTTCAGGAATCTGAGCCTCTAACATAAGTATCTGAGAAATGTCATTCTTTTTCCTTCCCTTAACTGGGAGAATTTTCACGAGAATTGGTTTATAATCCGGATATGCCGGTGAACAATGTACACATGTTGATTTCTTGGGGAACTCAACTTGCCGTAGGATGTCTGCGGAAAGAACGTCTAAACCTGCTGGTGATCCCTTGCAAATCTTGACGGGGTTTCTCCCGAAGTTCTGCACATCCAAGTACATTCAACCCGAGGAACTTAGTTGAATACTGCGGCAAACCGTGCAACTGCAGAAAATTTGCACCATCAACGTGACATTAGAATATGTTTGATTGGAACCGTCAAAACTATAAGCTACATTACTAGAATTTTCTATGTCACAGTGTAACGTATTCGGTAACCACAGGCATAGTGATTGGAACCTCGTGTCATAGCTTGAAATGCTATGACACGAGGATAAGTGGACAACCACTAAAGCACAAACAGTTAGATCATAACGTCACCAAGAGAAATATGTCTCATCAATCATCATGGCTAGCCAATCCAGAAATCTTTTTGATCTGAAAAAGCAATAATATTATTACTGCTAAGATCGCATAGGTGACCTACGGCACTTTACCTTAGAGGAACCTGATTTCAGTAATGGAGAATGCTTCAAACTAGCGCTGGTTGTAGCTTCGATATGTGCTGACCTATTGCCTTGGCCTTTCCCTGTGGACTTGTTACTGCCCAACAGCGGGAGATGTGCTACAGTGCACTGAGTGGACGTTGAGTCAATTCGAAAATCCACGGGCCCATGTGGAACAACTTGAAGAATGTCACGCGTAAAATCCTCTTCAACTGATGAAATGCTTACCATATCGCCATCTGAATCTTTCTGTAAAACCACACATGCGATCTCTAACTCAAATATCAACTAACTGATTTGACTCAAGGATCTTAACTATCTAATGTATTCTCGTTATCATTGACAAAAACAACGGCAATAACAGCAACGCCTTCAGTCAACATCACCACCATCCGAAAAAGAATAGTATCTAGCGAAGAGGGCACCTTAACCGGTTCAGCTTCGGGAAAGTCAAGATAGTCATTGTCCCTCAAACTATACACCGAGTCACTGTTTGGAGAACTTTGCTTCCAGTTACAGGTAGCTTTTGCTTCATCTTCGCTAAAGATGAGCTTCTGTACCAGAACATGTCTGTCAGGGAAACATACACATACTGGGAAATATTTTAAACTGCTTGTAAAGATTAGAATACAACTAAGCTACACAGATTTCGAAGGTTTGCTAGGTGAAAATCATACCTTTTTCTTTCCCTTTAGAGATCCACAGGCCAGGCATATTTTTGAAAGTACTTGTTGCAACAACCGCACATGGTGAGGGTGGAATATCGGTTGGGTGAGCTTCAAGTGACCAAAGTGGCCTGTGCGCAAAACGAATAAATGATAGGTTACAACAGAGGACGTGCATTACACAACCAAATCCAAACCACAAAGCCGATGAAGTAATAAAAATAACATCCACCTTGCAAAACTAACCGACTTGATGAAGCAGATAGTTCATGTGAAAGGAATTTGACATCGACGGAACATTTGCGAGCCTCACCTGTACATTCGTTGATGTTGGTGCCGCTGCAGGTTGCACATCTTTCATTTTCTGCTGGTAATCCAAGGCGAGGGTCGATAAGACTGGAAAGAGTGTCTCTTGCTCTGTTCTGTACAGAAAATCCGACCTGTTCATGTCCGCATATAAAACTACCACTTAGATTGCGAGACTTCACGACTACGCCAATATGGTATAAATGTTAAGCCATCTCCACCAGGTTCAGCTTTCCAAAGCTGACGTGCTCTGCAGGTAATTCTGAATTGCTCTTCATACCGACCAAATTTACTGAGACAAAACACATAAATCGAAACGCATATAACTGCAAATCAAGCATAGATTCTTACGATCTCATTGGCTGTAGTAAGACCAAATTGGAGGCCAACAATTTCTGCAGAGGGTGGAGGTGGAATCGGCACATTGCCTGGGGTCCACGTCCAATCCTCTGATTTTATTTGCATTTTAAAGTGCTTCAATCCTCATCAAATTCCATACATCTCTGCAGCAAGGGAAAATTGAGTCTAAAAACCACCAGGATCACCACTCGAACGCACAGCATGAGCTAACAGGTCAACAAACTAAACCATAACAACGAACCTCCGAAATTCTCCCAAAGAACAAAACAAGGCCTCCTAAAGTCCCAATCCTACATACAGCCAATCCGAATTCAGTGTAATAACAACAGAAAAAATCTAACCTGCGCAAAATCTCATTGACACCAAAACCGCACTGATTAGATTCCAAGCCTTTCTACAACAACGAAGCGATTGAGAACCTGACCTCGTCGTGAATGGAGTAAGCAAACGAAGAAAGACTCGGTGAGGATTGTAGAGAAGAAACGCCAATGGGATAAAAATTTCAATAGCGCACTACATTGAAGTTTAAAAAGTAAATTTATCTCCTAAGCTCGCAGTGCAGGATTCTAAATAAGCACAAAAGGATTATAAGCATGAGCTCGCTCGGCATTGCCGCCATGCATCGCTGCTGCTGCTGCTCCTCAAGCTCCGACGAAGCGAAGGCCTCAACGGCGAAGTGACTGGGGTGGATGAATGAATGTTTCTCATGATGACCAGCGCCGTTGTAGCCATCCCATCATTCATCCTTTATTCATCTATGATCGTTCGCTTTTCATCCATTCCCCCTCCCCGAGGAAATGGCATGAAACTGGGCCCGTTTCACACTGGGACACATCGTGTTCTCCACCCCCCCCCCCGTTGTTGTTATTGCACTTCACATTTGAAGTTTGTATGTATTTATAATTTTTATATTTTTTATATTTATTTGTTGCGATTGTGGGTGTGGTCCTTATGCACAAGGGGGATGAGAACATGAAAGAGTTTGGGTAATTGGAAATTGAGAGATGGTTTTCTTTTAGGGCTTTTTATGGGAGCTATGGGACTATGAAGTTCAAGGTGACTTGAAAAGATGACACGGTATCCCCATGTATTAGTAATCATTTGGAAATGACTTGTTCCATTTGATTTCATTGGGGGTATTGCTGGGATGACTTGTCATAAAACTTCTTCTTTGATGTATGTTTATTTGATTAAGCCTCTTTTTTTTAATTTTTTATCATTCTTGCTAGCAATAAATATATATATATATATATATATATATACTCTCCACTTTTTTATTTTATTTTAATTCATGTATTGGACTGAAGAAATTTAGGTCATCTTTCGTTCTGAGATGTTTTCAAATTTTACTTTAAATGTACAAACTACAAATAGAAGTACACACTTGTTGATTTCTCCGTTTTAAGTTACAACTACAGTTGTATAGAGTTCAATCTAATTATTTATGTTTAAAATTTAAAATTTGATTTTTAAACAGCATTTTACACGAGTTTGTTATCCATGTAAAATTTATGGTTTTTTTTGTACCAAAATCTAGTTGTCTTAAAATTATACATGATAAAGCATTAAATGACTATCAATTAGATAAAGAATTAATAATTATTTTCAAGCTTTCATCATTTATGAAGCTTGTATTATTTAAGTGGTTTTATTACAACTGTATAAATATTTTCAATGTAGGAGAACAAAGTATGTTAAAAAAGCAGTCTTGTGGCTTCATGACATAGCTTATAAATCCATTCATTGATCCTATTTTATAACATTCTACGATCAAGTCTTTTCATTTTCTTTCTTAAGTTAAATAAACTATACTATTCAAAGCAAAAAATGCTATTTATTTGCTAATGTTTTAATATATATATATATATATATATATATATATATATTTCTTAATTTATACTAAATAATCAGTTTTTTACATAAGAATATTTTGTGTATGTGTGTGTCCATTTTTATCACAAAGAATATCTGTGCTAACCTAATAAGCTAATAAAGACCACTATATGATTTTCATTTTTTTTTAATTGTAAATTTAATTTCGAAAATGACCTCTGGATTAACCGCAGTTTCGATTCTAACTTTTTTAAAACAAACAAATCCTGTGTCTAAGATTCCAAATTATCAGATTTAATTATAGTATTAGAAGCTTGAAGTTTGGTTATATCCATTACAGACCATGTTCAATTATTTCCATTTAGAAGTATCCTTTAATGATACAAGATGACATAACTTGTCACATACACAAATACACACACACATATATATATATATATATATATATATGTGTGTGTGTGTGTATATATATATAATATGTATAATATATAATATGCATTCTTTGCTGATTAATTTTATCCAAAAAATTACTATAAAGCCCAAACAATGATTCTGTTGACTTTGATCTTGTGGCCACTTTGTTTGTTTAGTTCCTTATTTGTTAGTTTTTATGTATGCAATAGCCAAATTCTCATTTAGGAAAATAAAATGAAATAAAATCTGTAATAGGATGTTGATTCTGATAGTTATTCTTTCACTTTACAACTTATGTGCTTGAAATGCAAGACCGCAATAATTTCTATCAAAAATTAAATGAAAAATTAAACTCATAATAGTTTAGAAGGTAAAATTATTAACCAACCTTTAATCTACTAGCTATTAAGATAAGAAAATAAACTAAGAGACTTTTATAAAAGCCATGCTTAAATATCTTGAATTACTATTGAACTAAGATGATTAAATATTAATTAAAATTTTATTTTTTGATTATATTTTTACCATATAGTTGTGTTACAATACGGCAACAATATGGTGCATATATAAGAAACTTGTCTTGCAAATTAAGACATATGTCTTATAAAATGAACATGTATTGGAGGACCTATAGAACATTGTCATATAGCTCTTTGTTAGATAGTAAATATAGAAGCAAGAGTAAAGCCTTCTTCATTGTTGTCATTGCTTTTTTAGTCCTTAGTCTTGTTTTAAGACTTTTTAATATTCTTGTCTTTAGCAATAGCCATTCTAGTTCAATATATTACTATCTTTGAGTGACTTTTTAATCTTTTTGAGTGATACAAGAGTGTATTGAGTTTTCTTTCTTTGAGATTCATGTCCTTGACACATCCTTCCTTATGACCTAGAAGAAACCATGATCTAATTTGCGACTTAAATTCAATTCTTTTCCAAGTTCTTTTGAGATACTTATCACCTAGTCTTATATGATTTTTGGTAATTGATTGTCTTCCACAATATATGCTATTATGACTTTCTTTTAAAAACAATCCATTTCTTTTGGTACTTTGGCCTCGTTTAATATCACCCAAACAACACATTTTGTTAGTAGGAAATCTTTTTTGCTACAAAAAAGTCTTTTAGAAAGGATCTTAGTTGGTGATGCTCGCATGGGATGGATATCTATCTCCCGCTCCATTTGTGCAATAGTAGCAACCAATTCAAATTCCAATTATTCTTTCCTAGATCTATTCTTCTTGTACTACACCTTCAATGTTGTAAGAGACAGGGATGCATGTGTCAACTTGCTTTTTAGTATCACAGCATAGGTCGTGGTTATCGTCATGTTGTCTCCTCACACTATTACAATCCCACTACAAATGGTACTATAGGCACTATGACTCACCTTAGTGCAACCTCCACTGCTAGGCTCAACTAAAACCCTAATCCTAAAAAAGTCCTATCCTCAATTGATATCTTACTTGCTTAAATTATTGCATATAAATTTATCAAATCCTAACACAATGTGTCAGGGTATTGAGCATTGGACCTCGCAATCGCTCGCAGGCCAGATATGTGGTATTACACATCCTCGCAGTAATCCCAGCGCCAGTGAGGAGGAGCTTGCCGGATCTTTCCCGTTTTTTTTTTTTTTTTTTTTTTTTTTTTCCATTTATGCACCTACTGCATATATGCTGAAATGCTTATCTGAAATGGGTTGTCTACCTTACGAACAGCAAAGGAGCCCCATCACCATCAGCCGGCGTGCATGCGCTCAATGGATACAACACAGAGATGTCGGTGTGACAGCAACAATGAAATTGAGCACTGCTGAGGAGATTGAAGGCCAAGCGGTGGAACTACTCCTTGACAACGACCAGGATTCGTCCGCAAGACGCAGATACCCGGACAGAAGTGTTCGTCATCGGGTTGCTCCGCATCTGCGTTCGCAACTGTGTTCGCAACGGCATCGCAATGCGGTACTGCAGTAGGTGAGTGTGTTCATGAACCATTGGAAATCGTGAATGGCGACATCCGCGAGACATCAGTGAACGTGAGCCGTCTGCGATGCTTTCGCGGCGTCCTGTCTCGACCCCTCCGACGTCTATCTGGACTATGCCCTGATGCCGTGTGGGTTGGGGTCGAAACTGGGCATGAATCTTCTGGTCGAGTATATTTTGCTTGGGTGTTGGGGGATCGTTCGCTTTGTTTCATTGGACAGCTGTTAATAGACAAGCCTGTCGAGCACGGCATTGACAGTGGGGCCCACCTTCAAGAACAACGCAAGGGTCCTGCAGCTCTCGAGACCTCGAGAACTTATTCGAGATCCTGGGATCCACCATGAAAGTGCGACACAAGGAATTCGTTCCGTGGTGACGGCGCAGCGATTTCGTGAGGTCTATTAGGAGGGGTGGGAGAGAGTGGTGGAGTAGAGTCAGCGTAGGGATTGAAATTGGATACGGTTCGTGTTGCGCCTATTCGCGCTGCTGTCTGAGTTGCATGACGGGGAACGTGACGTGGGGAGGACCTGGTGTCGCATCAGCCGCTTGTTCGAATAGGACCTTGTGTCGTTGGGATTAGCGTGGGCGGGAATTGAGAGCGCAGGCGTGAGAATTGCGGTAAGCTTCGGAGCGGGGACGGTCGGGATTGCAGGTAGAAGAGGTTGTAGAGGATTTCTTGAGAGGCTCGTAAAAGAGGGAGAGAGAGAGGGAGCAGAAGAGAGTTGAAGAGCGTGAGAGCTGGATTGAGGTGGTTGTGGAGCGATGCAGTCGCTGATGAAAGTTGTGCTTGCACCTCGAACGGGGTCGGCGACGGAGAGCGAGAGGAGAAAGAAGAAGAAGGAGGATGTTTTGCTGGAGCGCAGTTTGTCGTCTTCATCTCGGTATCCGTCAATGCCGCGGTACCCGCCGTCGCACTTGCATGGCGAAGTTGACGTCTCGGAGATTCGCAAAGCAAATTTGAAGGTCTGTAATGCAACCCTCACAAAGTGCGGGTTTAGCAGCGGCATTGAAACGCCGGAGTGGCGTGGTTGTGGAGTTGTTTTGGAGTGATTTTCTTGCCTTCTTGTTTACGCCACATCTGGGCAGGTTATCGCCCGGCCTGGGAGGAGGGGAGATCTCTGTTATGAGTCCCTGTTAAATTCCAGTAGGAACGGTCGTGGTGAAAGTGCTTGGCGCTGGAATAAGTCGGGGATTTCGCGAGAAAAGCAGTGATGAGCACTTGAACATGAGAGCGATGAATGGGAGCAGAATTCCTCAAAGGTCTGTTGCACAGGAGAACCCCAGGGGCCGAAAGCGGATCGTGCTAGCAACGTTTAGCGGCGCCGCTCGACTTTCTGATCCAGTGGTAGAACGTGCGTGGGGCTGGTTCAAATGGGACATGTGTGGTTTGGCAATTGATTCCACGGGGTCGTCATTTCATATGTATGTGTTGATTGGGTGTACAGGTTACAGGGATGGAGTGCGCAGCGTGTGCGGGGTCCATCGAGAAAGCCGTGAAGAGGTTGCCCGGCATCGAGGAAGCAACGGTGTCAGTATTGCAGAACCGGGCTCAAGTTGTGTACAGGCCCGCCTTCGTACAGGTACAATTCCTCCCACTCCGTGTTGTTCAGAATTCCGTCGGGACCGGTGAAGCGGGGATCGTTCGCGCAGCACGCGGTGCAATGCGGACGGCAAGAAGATGCTTGTAGCAATGTTGTAGGAAACGACTTGAAAGGTGTGCAGTGAGGGGTGCTCCAAAACTTTGCATGTGGTGAGAGGGTCAATTTAGCAATCCGCCAGATGGACCGTGGCAGCTAGGAGCTCAGAAGTAAGATGGATGTGGGCAGCGGTGGAATTGGAAGGCATTGAATCTTACACGGGGAAAGTGGAATCCAGGAGGAAAGCATTCGGGAGGCGATCGAGGACGCGGGGTTCGAGGCGGAAGCAATTGTGGACGATGCCGGTCAACGGAGCGGGAGCATCAGCCGTTTTCGTATCAAGGGCATGACGTGCACCTCTTGCTCAAACTCCATAGAGTCTTCGCTGAAAAAGCTGGATGGAGTGCAAAACGCCGTAGTAGCCCTCGCCACGGAGGAGTGCGAGGTGAGGCACGATGCTGGAGTGATTTCTCACGTCCAGCTTGCCGCCGCCATAGATGACCTGGGTTACGAGGCCGAGCTTCTGATCACAGGTGAAGAGACGAACAGAATCCGTCTGCAGCTGGAAGGCGTGACGGCTGCAGCGGACTTCCAGCTCGTGAAAGAGATGCTGGTGGCTCTGTCCGGCGTGACATCAGTGGATTTGGATTTCAGCAATGCGATGGTCACAGTATCGTACGAGCCCGACAGGGCTGGGCCGAGGACTTTCATAGAGACCATCGAGCAGGCGGGAGTTTTCACAGCGAAGTTGGAGGCACCTCGTGGTCGTGGGAGTCACGACAGGGGCTTGGAGATCCAGCACCACAAGAAGTACTTCCTTTGGAGCTTGGTGTTCACGGTCCCGGTGTTCTTTTTGTCCATGGTGTTTATGTACATACCAGGCATTATGGAGGGTCTGGAGCACGGCAGGCTGAACGGCTTGTCGATCGGAGCTTTGCTGCGGTGGATTCTTGCGACTCCGGTGCAGTTCGTTATCGGGAGAAGGTTCTACGTGGGAGCGTACAAGGCGCTCCGGCGAGGGTCGTCGAACATGGACGTGCTAATTGCCATGGGCACGAACGCAGCGTACTTTTATTCTGTGTACGTAGTGTTGCGGGCGGCTACGTCTCCTACGTTCAAGGGCACGGATTTTTTTGAAACGAGCGCGATGCTCATTTCGTTTATCATCCTGGGAAAGTATTTGGAAGTAATGGCCAAGGGGAAGACCTCGGAAGCCGTTGCCAAGCTGATGGACCTCGCTCCGGACAAGGCGACTCTGCTCACTCTGGACGAGGAGGGGGACGTGGCAGGAGAGAGGGAAATCGGGGCCGAGCTCATCCAGCGGCGAGACATCATCAAGGTAGGCCTACGCGCTGGTGTTGTAGGTGCTACGTTTCAGGCTTGGGCTTTCGCTGGGGGTTGTTGGATGCGGCTGTCCATACCGATTCGGAGAGTCGGACGGTTGGAAACAGAGTCGGGTTTGTATGTGGGCCATTGTAGAAGCTTGTGCTAGAGAGTTGCGGTGCGTGTCGTTCCCGTGAAGCGGTCCTAGTGGGTAGCGTGGCAGCCATGATTGTAGTTGTGCCCGTTCTTGCAATGAAAAGTCGTTTTGGCTTGCGCAGGTGGTACCGGGCTCGAAAGTACCCACGGACGGTGTGGTGGTGTGGGGACAATCCTTCGTGAACGAGAGCATGATAACAGGCGAAGCCCGCCCCGTACCGAAGAAATTAGGGGACAAGGTGATAGGAGGCACCATGAACGACCACGGCGTGATACACATACGAGCCACACACGTAGGGGCGGAGACCGCATTGGCACAAATTGTGCGGCTGGTGGAAGCCGCCCAAATGGGCAAAGCCCCGGTCCAGAAGTATGCGGATCGCATCTCCACTTACTTCGTCCCCGCCGTGATGGTCGCGGCGTTCGTCACGTGGCTGGCTTGGTACGTTGGAGGCAAAGCACGCTCGTACCCAAAGTCATGGATTCCGGCTGCGATGGACGAGTTCGAGCTGGCACTTCAGTTCGGGATATCAGTGCTCGTCATCGCGTGCCCCTGCGCCCTCGGCCTGGCCACACCCACCGCAATAATGGTTGCCACAGGGAAGGGCGCGACGCAGGGGATCCTGATCAAAGGGGGTCAGGCACTGGAGGCTGCACACAAGGTGAAGACGGTGGTTTTCGACAAGACCGGGACGCTGACAATCGGGAAGCCCATCGTCGTTCACACCAAGCTGCTCACGAACATTCCTCTGCACGTGTTCTACGACACAATCGCAGCAGCGGAGGTCAACAGCGAGCACCCACTGGGAAAAGCGATCGTCGCGTACTCCAGGAAGATCAGCGGCGAGCATTCGTCCCATGGTCAGCAGCAACACGAGGTGCGTGATTTCGAGGCCATTCCAGGGCAGGGAGTGCGCGCCGTGGTGGACGGCAAGGCGACCCTGGTGGGGAACATGCGACTGATGAAGGAGCACGGGATCCACATATCGGAAGAAGCGGAGGAGCACTTGCGCGATGTGGAGACTTTGGCCAGGACGGGAGTGATGGTTGCCATCGAGAGGGAGTTGGTGGGGGTGGTGTCCATCGCGGATCCAGTGAAGCCGGAAGCAGCCAGAGTAATCAGCATCCTCAAGTCAATGGGCGTGCGCAGCATGATGGTCACGGGGGACAACTGGGGCACAGCCGTGGCGATTGCGAGGGAGTTGGGAATCGAGAGGCCATGCGTGCACGCAGAGTCGTTGCCAGAAGACAAGGCCAGGATCGTGGAAGAAATGCAGGTTCGTGGTTTGCCTGGTGCACGAGCATGCGTGGGGGCTGCGGGGGAAGTTTGACCTGGGGAGGGAACGCGAGCGCCGGGGTGGGATTGGATTGCGTAATGGGGGAAGCAGAGGCGAGTGATGAGGACGCTTGGTGAACAAGCATGCTGACGCTGAGGTTTGTGGGATGCAGGCGGCAGGGACGTCGGTGGCCATGGTGGGGGACGGCATCAACGATTCGCCAGCGTTGGTCGCAGCGGACGTGGGGATGGCGATAGGAGCGGGGACGGACATCGCGATCGAGGCGGCGGATATCGTGCTGATGAAGAGCAACCTGGAGGACGTGATCACAGGGATAGACTTGTCGCGGAAGTCGTTCTTCAGGATCTGGCTGAACTACGTGTGGGCGTTGGGGTACAATGTGCTGGGCATCCCCATAGCTGCGGGGGCGCTGTTCCCAAGCACGGGGTTCCGGTTGCCTCCGTGGGTGGCGGGTGCAGCCATGGCGGCGTCATCGGTGTCGGTAGTATGTTCGTCGCTGTGGCTGAAACGCTACAAAAGGCCGAAGGTGGTGGAGGAGATAGACACGAGTGTACAGCGGTAGTAGGCGCGGAGCACGTTCCAGTGCCTCCTCACAGTTTTGCGAAGCAGATCAGTTTTGCACAGCGTCTTCGGGGAGCTGTATTTCAGGCGCTGCTCGTGCCTGGGCTCAGGGGCGGGTGTCGCCTCAAACACAGCGCTCTGGGTGACATGTAAATAGATATGTTTTTTTAATTTTATAGTATTTGTGTTCACCTTTGATAATTTTAGGGTAGGATTTTTTATTCATTCATTAGTTTATTTTGTTGTGGGCATTTTTATTGATGATTTTATTTTGAATATTTTATGTATCTTAAAATTCTAGTAATTGATACTCAAATCATTATATAATTCGAATTAAATGGGATTCATCTACAGATACTTGTAATTTAATACAATTTTTCTTGTTCAATTTCGATTCTTTTGACTATGTGCATTTACATTGTTGTCGCCTAATTTTATGTTTTCTAAAGTGAACAAATCTTACTACATAAGCTACTTTGAAAAGGAAAACAGTTTAAAAATGGTATTGCTTGAGTAAAAACCCAGATATACTTAAAATCAATGAGTTTAATTTTCCCTTTAATTTTTGCATGTTCTGTTCAAAATGAAATAACACACGAGTATTGACTTTGATGTATGTGTGTCAATGTGCGTGTACGTGTAAAAACCAAAATAAAACAATAGTATCAATTTCAATGCAAAGAATTAATTATTATACATCGATTCAATTTAAAATGAAATAAAATTGAATCGTTCATTTAATTGGTTAGTTTCTTAAATAATGTTCAATGGCAAATTTTAAACAACATCTAAATATCTTTAATACTACATGATATAACAATCAACAATATATGCTCTGCATCATTTGATTAAAAAATTAAACAATTTTCACAAGTCTAATTGCAGTTTTGATTATGTTTCCCTTTAACAAACACTATGTCTAATAGTGATCAAAATTAAATGTTACTACACAACCAATAAACCAGTTAAGAAATATATTTTAAAACCATTTATAATCTTCATTGTGCACACTGCACAACGACAGAAGTTCAGGCCAGCAGCATTTAGGAGATGTTTCAACATCTTCTTCACTGCGTATGTGACAAGAAACTCAAAAGAGCATGAGCAGCGCAAATCAGCTTTGCTTAATTTTAGCTGTACACTCTATTAGCTAAACCGAGCCCCAGTCATCCTAATCTATAGGTGCTGATGCTGATGCTGATCCATATGTTACAAAGAAATGATGCCCGAAGGGTGCCTAGAAACAACATGTCTGAGGATGTCAATTCGACAACCAGAATGGGGAAAAAAACTCCTTGCTCTCTCTCCTACACTACACCACTATCTAATAAGCAGAAAAATGATCACACTCATGTGTGAATGTCTGATTTGGAGCAGCTTCTATGACATATATATCAGAGTTTGAGATTGAGAATCTGAACCTGTTTAAGTGATCCTTGCCCTTGTCCTCCATAAGTTGTGCTCGATGTATACTAACAGACAACCCACAGGAGAGTCTGAGACGTTTAATTGGAAAAGGCTCATGCATCTTCTTCTCATTGGGCTGTAACGGATGGGCTCCTGTATCCTCGCATAGCGTCACCAATCTTACAGATGGAACGAAAATGGAAGCATCTGATGAGCTCATGCGAGCCGCCTGACAGATGGTATCTATTACAACTTGTCGGCGATTTTGGACAATGCATCGACTAATGTGGTCAAAACTCCGATTAACTTGTCACCCTGTTCTTTGCGCAATGCTCTCTCCAACGCATTCTCTTGCTTTTGAGCCTCAATCTGAGCATGTACAGTGCGGCTGTACACCTTCAGCTGTGCTTGAATAGTTTCTGTGAAGGCGGCTTGCAAGCTTTTGCTGGTGTTTTCTAGTATGGCAATGTAGGGATCTTTTGGATCTGCTTCGCCAGGAACTGGTCCACATGGAAGCTTCCGTTTCTTCAGATTCCGAGGCCGCTCAGGTGACATCCCTGTAGTAAAAACAATTCTCGGGAGTAAATGTCAAATTCTAAAACAGAAAACTCTATGCTAGAACAACAGTGGAGGCTTCTATGTTAATAAGATAAGCTATTCACGAAAAAGAGGACTACATTTTGACGATATGGGTTCCTTTGTTGATGCTCACGATCTCTCTGACCCAGACAACACATCTGTTTGTGGTGTGCCTCTTGACTGGCTATGTCCATCTCACAGTGTTCTTGTTAAAATTAATGTAGAATCAATCAACTAATAGAACCTAATTCAGCTAAAGAATGACGTTGAAAAAACGATGGGGGTATAATAAAACTTACAAATAAACAAATTCTGCTAAACTTTGTGAAATGGTTGAGTAGCTACCTCTAGAAATCAGAGGTTCGGGCACAACAGAGGGTATTCGGAGTCCATTCCCAGCGCCGAGTTCCACAGGCATTGTGCCATTCTCCAGATGCTGAGCATCCTCCGCCGGTTGCACATCCTGCTCAATCTCCAAAAACATGCCATCATCTGTTGCGCCACGAGACCCACTCTCATCCGGCAACATTCCAGACGGAGACTTGGAGAAACTTTCCATGGCCAGATAAATCTCTTGGTCGAACCCAGTGGGCAATTTCTTCTCTCTCCTTTCGTCTCCCGACATGTTCCAAAAGTCCTCAAACCCGTTGGTTTTGCACCACTCCAATATTTTCTTGAACTCCGTCAGCAGATTGAACCATCTCTTTCGACACATTTTCCCATCTCTGTCGATCCCTACAGCGCGGCACGACGCCGAAACAAGGTCCCATTTGTTCACATCCGTCAGCTGCGTCCTTCCCTTCAAACCGTTGGCCTGCTGGATATCAAGCTCATGTTTCCGCTTGGCTTCAATCATGACAAGGGTTTCGTGTTTGGACCATCTGGGGCTGGCAACCCGCTTAGCTTTGGGTGACACCGACAGCTTCTCTCGCATACCGTCATCCAGCTCGTCAGGCGCGGTAATGCACACTATTGCATTTCGCTCAGCCTCCATTACCCCAACTAACCTCAAAATTACTCCACCCTCGAACAGACCCACAAGTTACAGCACCGTTTCCGTCCTCCACACACTATCTTCCTCGAGCATGACAGGGATGGCAACTCGTGTGCAAACCTCAGCTAATTCAGCTCCAGAGCATCTAAGTGGGTGAACGCCATCACTGCTTGCTCCGTATCATTTCTGCGAATGGCATGGTATCCAAGCGATAATATCACCGCCCTCACACTGCAACCAATACGTACCCATAAATTGGCATCCTGGTATGCCCTAAACTAAGAAGAAGAACACCACCAAGGGGAGGAAAAAAAAAAAAAAAAAAAACAAAAAGAAAAACCTCCAAGAATAACTAAACTTCGGCGACCTTGATTTTCAAGATCAGGAAAACCCACATCGCAGCCTCTCCTAGCTCTACAGACATGATCGTTCGGAAGTCGGCTTCGGCTATTGCCCTGAAGCGCTCTTACACAATGCAGTAGTGATCTGTAGAAACATTCCAAAAATTGCAGCAACAATATCTCTTGGATCTAAACTCCGCTAACCCTCGGGACCTCAAGGGTTCTTGTTGGCACTTCTTGGTCCAGTATCCTCCCGGCAAGTGCTCCACGCGACCTTCATTCGCAAGCTTCAAAGGGTTGATGATGATGGTTCTCTTCAGGTTTCACAAATCAACTACTCAAGTGGGGAATAACATCACGGATTCACAAGTAATCTGTTCGAAGACGCACACCAACGATCTCAGTACTTGACTACTTTCACCCTGCCCCTCCGCAATCCTCACCCCCTTGAAGCTCCGAGTGCCGGTGACTAGCGGTAAAGGTTTCTATCTGTGTTTTTTAAAAAGAAATATTTGTCGATTCTCATTGGAAACTAGGTTTTGTATGTCCGTACTACAAAATGTGCTCTCTGAGTAGCACCCAATATTTGAATAAGTGATGGAAAAGTTGAGAAATCCAGTTTTAGGTGTTAACTGGTTTTTCTTTTTCTTTAAAATAAAATTTCTGACTTATTCTTAGAATGTTTTTCACCGCAATATTGAAATACCACGATTGACAGTGTTTCATTCCTGATTTCTGGAGTTTCACAAAGTTCTTCCGAGACCTATTACAAGAAGCTCAAGGAATTTCGACATAAATAGAATATTTGGGTTATAGATGTAATGTTTAGCATAAATCGACCACGGAAAAGAAGATAAAGAAATGAAATAAAATAAGATTCACAACAGAGTTGTGAAAAAATTTCGAGGTATTGTAGTATAATTTATTAATCCTCAAAAGAATCCATTCCAGATGTCGCCGGATAAATCAAGTTTTGTGACCAGTATTTGGACCAATTTATTGAACATTTGACGATCAATTGCAGCTGAAATGATAAAATGTGAAAATTTGATGAATTCTCGAAAAGGAAACCCATACATAAAACTTACAGTCTTCTTTACAAATGATTTCATACTTGAGCTTGCAGACACATATATATATATATATATACACATCATTTCCAACTTGTACTAAACTTACTTGAGAGGTTTAAATTTTACAAACTTCAAAATACACATGAAATATCACAATTGATATGCATATTCAGAGGTCACTTGATTAGATTGTGATCGAAGATAAGGACCGAAACAGAGCCGAGCTTTGTGGTCCATCTCCGGCTCTGTGTTCCGCACCAGCTTCATAGCAGTATTCTTGCAAGAAAAATATTGTCCAATAAGACTTCTCAACAAGTCGGAAGCTCTCATCCTTTCGATACTTAAGCACCCATCTATGAGCAATCAGGAAATTGTATAAAACAACAACAAAAAAATAGAAAATGGATAAAATATGATATGAAAACTTCGAGCCTTCCTCATCATTCAAACTGGCCATCACATATTTCCACTACAATCCAAACTGGAAAAGCACGTCATCTGGGTCAGCCAGAGAATCTCCCATTGACAATCGAACAAGAATGTCCTTCCTATCCCTAGCCAGACGGAAATTTTGGTCTGAGTATGAAACTAATGGTGCATGAAAACTAAAGTTAGAGCTGATCGCCCACATTGGACACTTTTTCGTATGCCACAACATACGCTACGTCCACGACCGAGGGTTTTGAAGGATCTTCACAAGCTCTGCTTCACGAGACCCTGGTTCTGGGGCAACATCATACTTCCAGGCCACCAAAGGAGGAGCTGCACAAGAAGGGCCGTCAAAATCGAACCAAGCTTATCTGCATTCATGAAATAAAAATTGGCAAAGTTTTGTAGCTAGACATGATGTCTGGAATAGCAAAGATACCTGAGACCATGATAGATTCAATGCGGCCACCGTCTAATCCAAACTTCACTCCACGGTCATACAGTAAATTGAATTCCAGGTACCGCCCACGACGAAGCAATTGCCATTGCCTCTCTGCCTCACCATGAGCTATTGTTCGTCTTCGATTAGCTAGAGGTAGATAGCTCGGCATGAAACCCTGTGCAACGTCTCTTACGAAAGCAAAAACTGCATCTGTGTCTGGCTCTTCAGAGGCACCTCCATTCTGAAATATATGGAAACACAAGAATATTACGAAGAGAGGAATGTGAAGCTACCAAAGCAGCAAGGCCCTTGGACTCTAAAGTTGTGCTCGTGTGCTGGGCAAGTACAGGAGAGAATGGTTGAGTTTAGAATACCGCGGTTTGATCGCTATCCTTCTGAAAGGTTTCCAGGTCATCGAAAAAAATCCCTCCCGTTCCACGGTGCTCTTTACGAGCTGGTATGTAAAAGTAAGCATCACACGCTGCCTTGCTCTCTTCGTAAAGACTGGGTGAATACTTATCACAAATAGACTTGTAGAATGCATGAAAGCTTCTTGCATCCTCCTCGAAAAGATCTGTCACATGTACAAATGGATGTGCAAATAATTGCAGGGTTGAGTACTTCAGAGCTCACAATTGCAGGAGGCAAAGAAGGCACATAGACCCGCCTCTCAAAATGCCTTGCCCCTCAAATGGCCCTAGATTACCGCCACAAACAACTTCATCGCCAATTTAAGCAATGTCCAATTACACCTTAGCAAGGTCTCTTGCATCGGTGAAACCAGCACGACGTAGGTGGTTGGGAGTGCTTACAGCATGGTGTCAGATCCGCGCCCCCTCCAAACCAACCTTGGCTGCCCTCGACCTGACACGCAAAAATGCCATGTCTTATCGCCATTTTGTTACAGATATGATAATTATTTGAATAAATCTCATTTCACAATCATTCTCAACAAAGTTCAGCCTTAGGAGGTCTTGTAAGGGACACTAGGTTGCATTTCCACCAATAATGCGAGCATTCAGTTTGCGGGTTCCAACTAGCAGGTTCACAGGAGCAAAACAGAAAAGTATCGTGACTTTTAAAAGACAATGCGGTTAGCACTTGAAATAGTGTCTAGGACATGATCAGGACTGAAATTAGAGTAACACACCACAAAGTAGCGGATGTCTGATCTGAAGGTAGGCACGTAAGGGTTGCGAGGATGGAAGACAAGAGAGAGTGCCCCGGCAAAGTACGATGCCCCAGCTTCAACACCCCGACCCCGTGCACTCATTGCCTGCCATGTGACAAAAGCCATTAGGGGAAAAATCCACAATAATCTGGGAATGGAGTATCCATGAGCACTTCAAGAAGTGAAATTACGGGTGAAGGTGGCTCTACCTGCCTTAGCCCTAGCTTCGGACAAACTGCCCCGCACTATCGATACGTTTGCTGCCGCCTTCTCCAAGAGGTCTCCACCTTCCAGTACCCGAGTAATACCATACCTATTGATCCCGACTTAACTAGTCAGTAATAGCACGCGAACAGAAGATTAACACTTACGGTAGTCAAAGACGTCCACACCTCATCCTCCCCAGTACGATTAGAATGTATATACCGTAATTTCAGTGGAAAAGATGGAACTAAAATGGAAGAATAATGCCATTGCTTACATCGATGTCACAGGTTACAGTGCTTCGATGTAAATACGACTCACAGAACAGAGCTGACTAGAGAATAATGAAACTCCTGAACTGAAGAGAAGTTGTAAGAAGTGTTAAGAAATCCTGACCCATTCGATGGGTCAGCCCCTCGTTGCCATTTGTCAAACCCAAACATCTTCCCACTTCCATCCGCAGTAGCTGCCTGAGTTGCAACAAACATGAATGTACGATTCACGGCAAAATGTAGTCTCTAACGTACACAATATGAAGTTGGGGATCCAATTCCAGCGAGAAAACCATCCAAGGCAGAACTGTGGACTTAATCGAATGCATAAAGCACAAACTTATCCACACCCAAAATCAAGGGAACTACCAGAGAAAACACACACACACCTCATCGCAAATGGAGCTCTGCAAATTCACGAGAAATGCCTCAAATTCTTCCTGAGTGAAGGCTGGCCGAGAGACCGTCGCAGCAGCCTTCTCTTGAGCGCATTTCACTGCGACTCCGCTCGAAGTAGCCCTCTCCTTTAGACTGAAACCATCGCTCAACAACCCAGGTTGCGCCTGGAGCTTGCTAGTCCAAATATAACTCTGAATTGAAACATTTCTCAATAAACGACGCCCATTTCTCAAACTAAAAGACGAAGAAAAGTGGTGAGAAGTAGGTGCAAGAGGTGAGTGAAGGGCCAGAGTGGTGCCCATGGCTGCTGGCAAACAATGCAACGCAGGGCTCGCAAAACTGAAGACACTCGGCATAAGGAATTATCAGCATAAAAATAGAAATAGAAAAAGGAAAGAAAAGAAAAGAAAAAATAAAATAAAATAAAATCCACCCACTAATGGAATACAACTACCGAGTGTGAACAGAGTCAAATGTGACCGTGCACCAGCGAAATGGAAGCTTTCTTTCCGCTTCAGCACTAGAAGTCATTTGAGAATTACGGGAGTTTTTGAAGTTCTGCGTTTGTTCAGGGTGCTGCCACTATCTCCTGTGTTCTTGTCTCCTGTGTCTGTGCGGCACTAGGTTGAAGTTAATCTGAGGACGGCACTGTCTCATGGAATAGGGTCTAAGAGAGAGATCTCAGAGGTTTGTTGCAGGTTGTAGGAGGGACATGGCAGCTAGGGCTGCCAGATTGCTTCATGGACGTCTTGTTGGTTCATGGGGAGTACGTCCCTCATGGCCAGGAGCCTCTGGCCATATGAACGAGAAGGTGGCCTCGCACTCAACTTCTTGTGTTACGAGTCAGCAGCTGACGGGTGCTGGTGGACACAGGAATCTAGCAACATTGAGAGGGTTTGGGAGTTCGATCGGAACGATTCCGCGAGTCGAGGCCGTTGAGCCATCAAATGGCTTAAAAAGTGGTTTTGGAAAATTAGGGTTAGGGCTTAATGCTTCGGGTAGTGGCGCGACAGGCAAGCGATTTTTCAAAGCATGGGGTTGTGTGCAGCAGAAATCGCTGGAGACCCCGAATGAAGTGCAGTCGGAGCTGCAATCCACTTCTGCCGTGCCCGATGAGGCCGCGCAAGCCAGGACGTTACAGTTAAAATCGATAGACGAGGCGAGGGCGAGGATTTTCGGCCATGTGATCGGCAACGGGGAGCGGTCCGCGCACAAGGTGCTGCGCAGGAAACTAATCGGGGACAAGATAGTCTCCTGGTATCCCACCCCAATTCAAAACCAAGACCCCATGTTTGAGGATCCCAACATCAAGCGCCGGCAGCTGAAGAACGAGAGGCTGAAGCGGCGAGGCAAGGGCCCTCCCAAGAAGGGTCACGGCAAGCGGGCTGCCAAGCGCGCCAAGTAAACTTTGTAAGGGCTATTCTCTAGTCATAGTGCTCTCTCCTCTCAGACGAGCGCAGTGTTTTTCCAGTGTTCCATCCATGTAGGAGGGTTCTATTTTCCTCACTATGTCACCCTTGCAACTTTCAAACCTAAAAGCATCTACACATTCTGATTTTCACATGAGTGATCTAGAGATGAGTGCGAAGTATGCTCATTTACTAAACCTCAAGAAACTTGTTAGGTTTGATTCCAGTTCTTTGCTCGCATCTCGCCAGCTGGGTTTCTGTCAAACGATTATGTGGTGACAGATTCAGCCAGCCTTGATTCTGGTTCCACCATCTCCCATTCCTGGTCTTCTTCTTCTTCTTCTTCTTCTTCTTCTTCTGCTGCTTCAGCTGCTGCTCTTATGTTGTGGCTGATGCATTAGGGTTGGGTACCAGACAGTTCAACGCAATGTGACATGAACCCAGTGATTCTGATTCTTCACAAAGCTCTTGTGTGACGTTGTGTTTGCTGTGAGGTTAAGACCTTCACAGATTCGTTTGTATCTGAACCCATCCACTTTGCACAGTGGATGCTTGGTCAGAAACATTGTTCTATGAGCTGTTTTTTTCTTTTTTGCGTTAGATGTTTCAACTGTATCACGGAGTTTTCAAGTGTGTTTTGTGCATGAATTATGTTCATATTCTAATCACTTCGGCGATAAATAGGAAATGTAATTTCTATCCTTTGTTATTCTAGGATTCATGGATTTGTTCTTATAAATTTTAATGTCATACCAGCTACATTTAATGGTATATTATGTATTTGTCTAGTCTCTTTAGAAAATACTTAACAGTAAGGTTGAATCTGAATGTTCATGTCAAATTTATTAAATATCCTTTTGTTCATATATCTAATATTCTATGATTGTTATTGTGCAATCAATTTATACATACAAAATAACAGTGTACAGTGATGTACAAAAAAATATACTATCACTTATGCTTCTGATCATTATAAAGGTATGTGAATTTCATATTGAAAGAATTAATCTCAAATAGTTACAAAACAGAACATTAATTGAGCAAAGTTAGATAAAATTGAACATTACAAATGTATAAAATATAGAAATAGTTATGTAGAGTATGCATAATATAGTTCAAATCAAAGTTAAAGTGTACACAACATTGATCAACCATGTATATATTTTTGTTGACTAATATCAAGTGACATACATAAATTTAAAAATAATTTATTGGTAGTATAAATAAATCTGTAATATCTTAATGCCAAATAAAATCTTCAGTTGTAAAAAAACATCATGATATTAAAAATAAAAAATAAAAAATGTAAAAACCTCTTTAAACTTTTTCTTTTAAATTCATCAATACTAAATTAAAACTAAAATAAAAATTCTCTCTCTCTCTCTCTCTCTCTCTCTCTCGCTATATATATATATATATATGTATGTATATATACCTCACAAATCTTATAATTGTTTGTACATCTTGTATTAATGTTAAAATAATTATTGTATTTATTTTTATTAATTTAGTATGTTATACTTTTTTCTTAGTATTTCCAATTATTTTCATAATTTTATCCTATATTTTTTTATTTTTTGTACAATAAACTTATCTCTTAACTCAATACAAATATATATATATATATATATATATATATATATAATGGTTGGATAGTTAATGTTTGTGCTTCTTTTATATTATGTTGTTACTAATTGGCATAGCCTGTATACTATTAGCATAAAGAATCAATCATCAAGTCTTCTAAATTTTATCAAGACCTAATATCAACTGGGTAAAACTTATAATAATAACTGGTTATATTAGTTATGAAATTAAGTATTTTGGTTTTTAAGATAAAATTTATAAGATGTTTTATTTTTTATTTCAAAACACAAAGATATGTAGTATTAGCCATCATTTATGTTGTTTAGTTAGTGCAAAGGCCAAAAACTTGTAGATTGCACATTATTTTTTTAAACAATTTTATATTTGTGAAAGGAAGTTGAAGGTAGAAATATAGACTACATCAATTTAAATCCACATTGTATTGGTACTAAATTAATGTCTTCATATCTATATTGTCTTAAGACTAGAGCAATGTCACAATCAAGGATAACATTGAATTTATCCAACTACCAAATGAAGCAAACTTGAAGCGACTAAATGTGGACTATGTCAATTTGTACTACAAAACATTGTTCTAGACTAAAGAAAAATTGTTCTAGACTAAAGAACCCATCAAAGTATAAAACATGTTGATTACAATTCAAGTCTTAAAATAAAAGAATAAAAAATAATCCTTCTATATTCTATTTACAATAGTCAAAGCAAAATACTTACATCAAGAAGAGATAAGAAACTGACAACCTAAATTATAATTTCAAATCCTTCTCTAGCCCTATGCATTAAAACAAATATACAAAAAATATCCATTGGATATACAAGGATAGAGACATCAAATAAGGAGAATTTGAAGATGGAAATTTCTCAAAAAGATAGAAAACTAATGACATGGTGTTACTATAAAATCTCTTGAAAGATATGATTTGTTAAAGAAGAAAAAATAACATAGAGCACAATTTGTATGATATCAATAAAAATACACAACATAACATAAGGTTGTCTTTTGATATTGTCCCAACTTCAAAAGTAATGATTAATATAACAAATTCTATAGTAAACCAAATCTATTTCTATGGAAGGTATTAATTTTTCATTCAATAATTATTTTTATATTAACATATATATATATATATATATATATATATTTCAAAAGTTTACCAAATCACATCTCCACAATGAAAATTTGACAACAAAGAAAGTTAGTGCAAACCAAAACTAAAAAATTTGAAAAGAAAAAAAAAGAAAAAAAATGTCAAAGGTTAAGAATTGCAAAAAACTAAACCAAATAGGAAGTGCATGATGACAAAGCCCACAAGATTTTTCCTTAACAAACTTTTTGGCTCTAAAGAGAACTTTAGTACGTTGTTTTAAACTGAAAAGTATGAGGATGGACGTTCTCTCCCAGTGCGTCCTCGAAGTTCCCACGAGCCGAGAACAGGAGGGACAGCCAGGGGGATCAAGTTCCCTTCCACTCGTGGGGAACCTGGCAAAGTTGAGGGACCTTCACCGCCGAAGAAGAGGACGGTTCCCCGATGCTTCGCTCTCGTTTTCGTGGCCGTCGTCGAATTCAGAACCGCTTTGTGTCTTCAAAGACGGGCAGAATCCCAACGCAGCATTCACTGATCTCAGCTTCATATGTCGAAGCCCTTCGCCGATCCCCCCCCTTCAATCCCCTGCCAAGTCCATCCCAGATTTGCTCGATTCTGTGAGATTTTATGGTCCGCTGATTGATGCATTTGGGGTTGCAGAAGCGAGCTGCGTGATTGCGGTTTTACTATTCCGGAGTCTAGGTTTTAGGGCAAGGATAGAACATTCCGAAACAGCGTTTCAGAATTAGTCTGAAGCTGAGAAGTACTTGACCCATTTGTGCGTGAACTTATTTGCGGAAGGAATTTGAAACCCTGCAAAGGATGATATGGTGGTGGATTTTGTCAGTAGTTTCTTTTGTTATTGGACATCTGTAGAGGTTTAATAATGTTGAAGCGGGTAGACAGTATTTTGCAACAAGCACCGATTTCATAATTACGAAAGAGTTTCTTTGTATTAATCGTATGGCCGTGAAAATGGCACCCGAGACCAGGGTGTTAAACTCGCTATTTTGTAAAGCCGGACGAATTCGGCGACGATTATCGGTATTCTGTTACTCACAGTAAGGCAGGGATAACCTTGACGTAGATGATTTAGCTTGATGATGTTTTTTTCTTTCTCAACATTGTTGCACCAATTCGCTGTAAAAAATATCTTCCCGTATTTTATTCGAGTGGTCGCTTCTCCAGAACGTGATACAGACATGCATGACTGATTTAGATGCAGATATGGTTGTGGGAAACGATGCGGAAGAAATTGCATTAGTAGTGAGGTCATTGTGGACAGATTTGTGATCAGGGACTTTTTAGCTGTAAACTTCGGCATATAATCTACAAACACAACTTTCAGTAGGTTGTATTTTTCCCCCATTGTGTTGGTATTCGTTTTGAGCCTCAACGAAGCTGTAACCACGAACTTGAGAAAATGGCCGTAGTTCATCAGATTCATGAAAAGCTGCACAGAGATGCCACAAGGAAATGTTGTCCAACAGACGGGACATTCACACAACCGTGCGTTGTTGCATCTTTTATCATAAAGCACCAGTTATCAATAATGATAGGTGAAAGAGATTCAGCCAAAGATCTATCAGTTGAATTGTGCTGCAGTGTCTTCCGTTTGTTTTTTTCAGCAAGTAATGAACCTTGTCGTTCGAGATAATATCATTGTGTTGTCTCGATCATGAGTATTCTTACGATGTTTCCTCGACAACAATGTCAAAAACATCGTACACTCTCTTAAGATATGATGTGAATTCCACTCTTGTAATGAAGACATGTGTGGAGTTTTATCTTGACAGAAACAAGCTTGTGTGAGAAGACTTTTGGTGGCAACAGTTGGTGAGACTCTTGTGCCGATCTGTCTGATGTACCTCAAGGATAATTAAGCTGTGTGTTTCAGGACAACGCACTGTTTTTTTGGTGGGGCGAAGTTGTTGCTGCTTAAAGATGTTCTGGGCGTTACAATTACTTTTACTCTTCATTGTCGTTCATTGCACTGTACTTCAGTGTTGATCTGCTCCAGTCAGTCAACTCTGTGACAGGTGTTGTGGCAAAAACATGGGCAGCCTCGGGAAGCAAATTTAGTTTCTCCAGTGCCATTGTTCTGTTGTAGGACTGGAATCTAGCAGTGGGATGCAAGGCCACGACAGTCCAGCCGAAAAATCAGCTGAGGCATCTCTAGCATGCACCCAAGTTCCTAAATTGTGTAATCAAAAATGGGCAAAATTTTCAGGATCTACGGTCGTCAGCACTCACAGCTAGATTAACCTCGATGTGGCGAGCAGCTTGCCCAACTTTGTCCAGTAACGAGGTCTTTGAGGATGATACGACTCTTGTCGTACTGGTAAAATCCTATTCGTTCTCCTAATGCAATGGTTGTGACACAGTCATTTATTGGTTACACATTCTAAAATTTAAATTTGCCAATTTTTCATTTTGCATAATTAAAACTACCACCTCTAAAACCTGTGTAATGCAACCACCACGCAAAGCTAAAAAATAAGGGGTTTAAGTGAAGTTTATTTGATGGGAAACAACTGTACGAACCCAACTTTGCGTGCCAAGACTGACGATTTCAGTCAATGGAATGCTCTGAACTTACCGACAATTGTGCTTGTGCAGGGTGCCGTTTTGTGATTCTCTTGCCACAATGGTTAATGGCTGAACGTCTCCCACAAATATTTGCAAGCAGAAAGCCAAGCAATGGGAGTTGAGAATTGTTTGATTAAAAGCTGGTGAAAGCTGAGGAAGTTTTCAGCTTGTTCATTTTCCTTCCTCCTCAGCTTGAACATCATGAATGGTTGCCAGCGGCCGTCTCCGTTGTTTAAAACTTATGATTTATTCATTTATTTAATTTTCCAAAGCCTGACCAATATATATTATGAAAATCCTCTGCACTTGAAACCGTAACGTTTCGAGTCGTAGAAATTGCGCTCTTGGATCGTCAAACCATTCGAGTGTCGTCGTGCCAGCACTTTTCTTGTGTCTTATGCAGATATTCTGACACACTTGCATATCAAGTCAACCGCGTGTTGAATAAAACTTGACCCTGAATTTGCGCAAAAGATTCCTGTATACAAATATCCAATGTGTGCAGTTGCTCCGAACCTATTACTCACCATCCTCGTAGAACATGTTTTATTTGTTAATTACCAGTATCTTTTCTTTGAAAGCTCCACAGGCACTATGTGTGCCAAAACCCTTGTGGATTGTATTTGTGATAGTCACTACGAATCAGACCCCAGGTTTCGCAGGGTTCCATGCGCGCTTTCTCCCACACACTCTTTTAAGCAATACGATTCAACTGTATCAGAATCTGATAATCTCTGATCTAGCCAAGCGAAAACAGAGTTGTGGAACCGACTTACCACACACTGATGGCCCCATCTTTTACACCCCACAAATTGCTAATCCTCCACCACGTTTATTTTTCGAGCGCTTTTTTCTGGATGTAACGCATTTAACCATTTTCACAGAAAATCGCTACAGAAGATCCGAAGGGCACCATAGCAGAAAGCACATCACGCACGTTCCAACAATCCCGCTTATAATTCACTCAACCCAAAAAATACAATACCCTAAATTATGTTCTAACCATCCCCCACTTCACCAATTACCAAAACTGAGGGTAAAAAACGAAACTCATCAACGAAAACAACAATCTCACAACCAAATTCACGAAGCCCGGTTTTTATTTAGTAACCCCCCCCCCTGACAACCCTCACGAAACAAAGCACGATTAAGGAGAGATGCCAAAGCATTGAGATGAGGGCACAAGCGGGAGGCCCAGAATCATTGGCTGAGCGTGGATCGCCAGTAGAAAGACAAAAATGAAATCGAGGAAAAATCCAAGCCCTGCAGACCCCATTCCCAAACGAGGCTTGACCTAATAAATGCAAGCCGGGGAAAAAGGGCCCCCCTCGGGGACGGCGAGAACGTGCGAGCGCGGCTCATAAATAAAGGCAAGCCTTCCATGGGAACATGGGAGCTTCGGGAACGCTCCTTGTGAGCCGCTGCCTCGTAAGTCGCGGTTGAGGCGTTGTCAGCAAAAGCTGTGGGACCATGGATTCGTTCCCCCTGCTTTCAGGCGAGCGAGCGAGCGATTGCGAGTGCGAGAGAGAAAGAGAGAGATTGCGAAGACGGGAGGTTTGTTTGTGATCTGGAAACACGGGAATGGGGTAGGTAGGGAAATTCTGCTTATTGTGGGTTTGATAGGAAATGGCGTTTGTTGGGTAGCGGAGTTGGGGGCGCTGGAGCGATGCGACGTGCATAATTGGGGTCTGAGTTTGGATAGATTGTTTGGGTTGTTTTTAATGTGGTCCTGGATCGAGTAGGAGGGTGTGGGGTTGCTGATTGACTGGGATTAGCACGAGTTGCTGTCGTTGCAGGGGTTGTGTCTGCCGCCAGGAGAGGACGTTGCGTTTGTGTGTGTCTGGAGGGGATCGTAGATGCCGGTTGGCGTGGTGCTTGATTTAAGAGGAATGTGGGATGAGTTGAAGTGGGATTGTGGTGAGGGGGTTGTTTGGTAGCATATTTGGAATTTCGGGGCTTAGTTAGTGGAGTACTGCGGGTTTAGAAGTTTATTTTTTATTGAGGGAGTTCTTATAAGGATAATTGAGTTTGTTGGTGTGAAGGTCAATTAGTGCACCATTGCTAGTGGCATTGCTAATTATTACACTGTTTGGAAACTCTGCCATGCTTCGTGTTGGATATCGTCTGTATAGAGTTTTGGCGTAAATCAGAGTTCTATTTCTTAGGAGCGTGAGTGAAATTAGGCACTTTCTAGTGGACGCGCTGAGCCTGTTTTCCTTAAGGGAGGAGTTGAAGTTCTTCGAATCAAGGATCTTGAAGCAGACTACCGTGCATCGTGTTGGGAAACATCATGGAATTGCTTGAAGAGTGCTCTTTTTTGGGATCCCCCGCCACGCCCAGGCCTGCAACCAACTCTGGAAGAGTATGAAGAGTTGAATAGAGCTTTCCTGGAGCTTTCGAGTTGATTCATGGTTGCGTTTGCAGTATCCTGAGTTTAATCCACCAAGGTAGCAGCCATTTCCTATAGCTTGCTGCACATGCGTTGCAATTTAAGATTTTGGGCCATGCTAATAGCATTTCTCTGGTCAGGGCTCAGTTGGTATCAGGGACCTTTCAGAATTGCTCTTTTGGGGTAGTAATGCTTCACTTTAAAAGTGGTATAGTGATAAAGCGTTGTTGTTGGAGAGTGTCTGTTAGCCAGCGAACTTTGCTAAACCAGCAGTCGTTTAAGATCTGATTTGATCGTCGACTTGCTTATGATTCGTGCCACAACTTTAGGCAACTCTTAGTGGGATTCTGAAAATGCTTATTGCTGGTTTAGTATATGCTGTGACAGTAGTCTCCGAAAGCAGTTTTGATTATTAAGCCCAGTTGCAAACCACTGCAGCAGTTTTGCTTCCGGAACACATCTCTAGTCATATGTCGAACAAACAGCTTGGTTTTGGGTAGGAGATGACGACAGAGAATGTTCTGATCTTGATTGATTGTTGAGCACTGCTGTGCAATTCACCGCAACTGTTTGCGAGGTTCGATAAATGTTTTAATTGATTCATGTATGAGTTACCCCTGCAGGAGAATAGGGCTGGTGTTTGGAGAATAGTAGAAGCATTACAAAGGCCGTAACATTTGGTTCAAGTGAATGGTAGTGATGGGGTACGCAGAAGAGGGCCTTCACTGCCACAGTCAATCTGGTGAAGATAGCGGAGAAGATGGAATGTCTGTACTGCCAAGGCATACGAAAGTGCTGGTTACAGGAAACAATCGCACCAAATCTGTTTTGGTTGGTCTTCACGGCGTCGTCACGAAAGCTGTGGGTCTGGGTGGCTGGCATTGGCTGGTAATCATTTTGAAGAACTTGAGGCAGCTTTCTGGTGCCTATTTGTAATGTTAATATTTTCACGGTGTATCTTCTGCCATTTACTCTTAATTCCTCGAAAGTTCATCGAAGTCACCAATTTTGTGTTCACGTGGCAGGTACTCACGAATGGGGACGAAGTCAAGCTCCAGCGCAATGCCTTGAGCGTGGTTGAGGGTCCAACTGGTCATGAAAAAGATGATGACAATGATGACAATCCATTTTCAAGTGAAACAAGCCAAGGTTTGTATTTGTTTCCTCGGGTAGAGACACTGTGCTGCACACAATGAGATGGGAGTATCTAGATCTGTGCTCATTGATGTACACAATGTCTTTCTCCTAGATTGATTCGTTGCTTATACTGAGGGCTGAGGGAGGTAAGGGTACTTGATATATCAAGTGGGGGCTGTAAAATCCTGTAGGATTCAGTGAGAAAGATCAGGATTGAAGGATGCTTTTGCTACGATATTGTCTATGTTCATGTTTTTTTACATAGAAAGCCTCTTAGGTAGTCTGTCCTGCATTGCAAGTCGTCAATCAAATAGATTCACTTTTAAATGAAGATTGATTTGGATGGGCGCAGAAAACAATTTTCCAACGAATTCATTCCGAGTACAACCCCGGAAGCCAACATCACCAGTGTCGTCCAATCCTGGAGCGGCAGGAAATATCAGGAGGGCAGCTCAATACTGTGACTCATATGATAGAAAAGAAAATTTCGTTGACCGCAAAGGTCTGTCAAGCAGATGCTTACCGGTAAGATTTTTGTTTTGTTTTTCTTTGTTTCTTTGTTTATTTGTTTATTGTTTTTAAATTTTGACATAGCAGTGTTCTCCTGTGTCCGATGAAACTGTAGTAAAGCACTGATTGCCATAGTTTCTCATGCGACGAACGATAACAGAACCTTAGGAAATTCAAAAACAAGTGTGCGTGTCCTGATCCTGTGAAGGCGTTCCTGACAAGTGATGGCCATTCTTTGGGTACAGTCTGTGAATCTTAGCAAGCTGGAGACGGCTGTTCTGAAGAGATATCGAAGGCATTTTAAGCTGGTAATTATTTGCTCACGTCAAACAAGAATCATATAATCGAACGAGTGTTATCTTTTCTTCTGAGATTTTCTAGCTCAAGAATACTAAATTTAATTCCAGGTTTTTCTTGCAGTGAATAAAGAGATTAGCTGATTATCAGTTGGGCCTATAGATTTCTTATACTGCTGTAATCTTGAGAAACGTTGATTTTCTGGCCGTTGGTATTGTTGTCTTGCTTAGGGTTGATTACATAGATAACTTTAAGTGTACAACCTGATCTTATGTTTACTCTGTTGTGAAGGTTGAAGTTGGTCCGAACTCATCAAAAGAACAGCTTGTGGATGCAGTTTGTAGACATTTCATGTCACAGGTAAGAGCTACACGAATTTGAGGTTTTCGCTTGCATGTCTAAAAATTTCTTACTTAATTTTAGATAGCGGAGGTGTCGTCTCCACGGTAACCTTGAACTTCCACTGTATTTTGACGCCACAAAAGTCGATTCCCTGAGAACGGTTTATGGCTCTGGAATTGTAGGAGTTGGACGAGGTACAAGTGATAATGGGCTTCATGCAGGCTGCAAAGCGTTTAAGAACGTAGAAAATGCACCCCGCAAATGTTTATTGCATGGTCTCGCTGAAGTCAACGACCTGAGAAGCCTAGCGATTGTTGACAAATATATACAGAAAGTAGTGGATCGGCTTTGGTGGTTGGATGGGTGGATTGTAAAGGCAATTCACATTCTGCCCGTCATCTTGTATACTAGAAAACGTTAGTGTATAAAGGCTGTCGATAATGAGCCAACTAGTAGGCTTAGATTTATTTTTGAAGTGGGCCTCGCACATATAGTATGTACAAATAGCTCAGTATTGATTCAGGATTTGGCTAATCATTAACCCTTTAGTTTCATTTATGTACCAATTGTACATGACTTCTAGGCAAAGGGAGGGCAGTAGTATTCTTCCTGTTTTGCCAGCCATCGCCCTAGCTTCCTTGTACATTGAACTATTCCTATGCTCTGGTGATATTCTCTCCTGACATACTATAGGATTACCTTGTACACCTCACTCAGTAGCTTACACTGCATTAGTGCTCTGAAACCTGAGATTTGTGGCTATGTTATCTTGTACAATTATTAACTATATAACACAAGGAAATCTTATGCGACAACATAATATGTGACTGTGCTTGTACTTTCTTTTTTCATGTCGGTGCAGTTTTCAGTCCCCGTTCACCCTTTTCGCATGGTCTTGCTTCACACTACGCAATAAGTGCTGTGGTAATCACTTGTCGCAAGGATGCTACACGATGTGCAAAAGCTAGTAGTCAGACTATATAGAAGTCATTTCAGAAAAGATTATCATTATGCATTTAGTAGAACAGGTAATTCTAGTCACACTACTTTGCTCGTCCATAGTGTTTCTTTTTCCCCGCTCGTTGATTACATTATATATTTCCCTATTTCGACCACTTACCACGCAGAGTATTTAATTTTGTTCAAATGCATTACATGTATGATGCGCTGAATAAATTCTCACGTAATACTAGCAAGGGTCGAAACTCGTGATGAACTAGTACATAATCTTGGAAAATGACATTCTTCACCTCGAGCAGACATCCCATTGGATCGTCGCGTTCACGCATGGATTTTTCCGCTTGACTGTCTATGACTGGGACATTATACTTTTGACGAAAGTTTAGTTTAAAGATGTATTTTCCACGTTGGATCGAAGGATTCATTGATATCCAATGATTTGCAAGGACCTGCTCGAGTCATTGATTTTATGGACGATAAATGACGATCTCCAGCAAAATTGGACTGTCTCTTACCCAATTAAAAACTCTTAGTTTGTGCCACAACCAGCCAAAATTATTGCGGGACTTCGCAGCTTCAGCTGCAGGCACATGTGAAATTGTCCAAGTGGATTCAAAATACCGAAAGATGCAGCAATCCATAGTTTGAATGACGATCATGGAGTAACACATGATAGAAATTATCTAACAGGCAGAGACTGACTAAGTTATGTCTAACAGTTCCAATTTTAACAACACGGCACCTGAAGTGGTGTGCCATCAGACAGAAAATGATAAAGAACTTCTTCAATAACAGGAAGCAAAACCCTTGCAACCAGCTTGAAAATGTTCACGAAAGAAATAGAAAAAGAATAAGAGGAAGAAAAAGAGGGATGCACAGACATCGCAAAGAATCAACACCACACAACTACAGCGCACGACATCGATCCACTCCAACGCGCTAAACATTACCATAACAAAACTGACCACACCACACCACACCAAATCGTCCTCCAAAGTCGGGGCTCGTACAAAACCCACATCCCAAAAACGCCTCCATCCAACAACAAAAATCTTATGTATGCAATAATCCGACGTGGACGACAAGTGGAAAAATCTGGATCCTTTCCGAACCAAACTGGCCGACTTGCAGACAACTTGGCAAGCCCCTCGCAGCCGACGACCTAATGCTACAACTCCCCTAGACCCATCTCCCCCGTGGATGATCCCCATCTAACGGTCCCTTCCCCCGAATGCCTATGGAACCGAGGGCGACCGTGACTAACTATTCATGTCAGGATCGGCGAGGAAGGCTCGAGAAGGGCCGAGCCATGGATCCCAGCCGTGGGCTGTATGCATCTGACGGCGCGCTATAGACGTCTGGAAGCGTCCACTGGGCCTTCGTTCTGGTATGAAAGCATGTAACCCTGGCCGAAGCACTCCGTCTCTCGCCGAACGCAGCTCTGCACTCACTTTGCTGCACCGGAATTTTTCGACACGACTGTGGAGTCTCTTTTAGGGTTTAACCAACTGATCCACTTTGTAGCGTGTTTCCTTCGAGTTTTATTTTAGTTTTTGAAGGTTTGAGAGGTTCATCTCTGTGATAGTTTTCGTTGGAACGGTTGGGTGTTGTCTGCGACCGTGAAGATGGCCGACGGTGATGCGCAAGTGGAGACCTTCGCCTTCCAGGCAGAGATTAATCAGTTGCTGAGTTTGATTATCAACACCTTCTACAGCAACAAAGAAATTTTCTTACGAGAGTTGATCAGTAACTCATCCGATGTAAGTATCCATGGAACTTTTTTTTCCTTATGCTTGGTCGCTTGTCTCTGGGTTCCTCGTCTTCTGTGGCAGTTGTGTCATGCTTTGAATGCTTCCTTCCGCAAGCGACGTGCGTACATGAAAAAGGTGATCATACAACGCGGCCTTATAGAGTCGGAAAGCTATGTGTAGGTTTACTTTGAAATGTGCCGTGATGTGTCTACGTGTTTGAAAGGGTGTTGAGTGTTGTTGCCATCCCCTGAACTGTATTTGTCTTATGTTTAGGCCCTGGACAAGATCCGCTTCGAGTCACTGACAGACAAGAGCAAGCTCGATGGCCAGCCAGAGCTCTTCATCCATATCATTCCCGACAAGGCGAACAATACCCTGAGTATTATCGACAGTGGCATTGGTATGACTAAGGCTGATATGGTTAACAACTTGGGAACCATCGCCCGATCCGGTACTAAGGAGTTCATGGAGGCTCTCTCTGCCGGAGCGGACGTAAGCATGATCGGTCAGTTTGGTGTAGGTTTCTACTCAGCATATCTTGTCGCCGACAAGGTTGTAGTTACATCCAAGCACAATGATGACGAGCAGTACATCTGGGAATCTCAAGCTGGAGGATCTTTCACTATCACCCGAGACACCACTGGTGAGCAGTTGGGGCGCGGTACACACATTAAGTTGTATCTGAAGGAGGACCAGTTGGAGTACCTGGAAGAGAGGAGGCTGAAGGATTTGGTGAAGAAGCACTCCGAGTTCATCAGTTACCCAATCTCACTATGGACAGAGAAGACTACTGAGAAGGAAGTTTCTGATGATGAAGAAGAGGAGGATAAGAAGGAAGAGGAGGGGAAGATTGAGGAGATTGATGAGGAGAAAGAGAAGGACAAGAAGAAAAAAAAGGTTAAGGAGGTTTCGCACGAATGGGCTTTGATGAACAAGCAGAAGCCTATCTGGATGCGGAAGCCGGAGGATGTCACGAAGGATGAGTATTCGTCGTTCTACAAGAGTTTGTCGAACGACTGGGAGGAGCACTTGGCTGTGAAGCACTTCTCTGTCGAGGGACAGCTGGAGTTTAAGTCGGTGATCTTTGTGCCGAAAAGGGCCCCCTTCGATTTGTTCGATTCTAGGAAGAAGCAGAACAACATCAAGCTGTACGTGAGGAGGGTATTCATTATGGACAACTGTGAAGATTTGATTCCGGAATACTTGGGTTTCGTGAAGGGAGTGGTGGATTCGGAAGATCTTCCTTTGAACATCTCTCGTGAAACATTGCAGCAGAGCAAGATTCTGAAAGTGATCAGGAAGAACTTGGTGAAGAAATGCATGGAAATGTTCGCAGAGATCGCCGAGAACAAGGAGGATTACCAGAAGTTCTACGAGTCGTTTTCGAAGAACTTGAAGTTGGGTATCCACGAGGACAGCACGAACAGAACGAAGCTGGCAGACTTGCTGAGGTACCACTCGACGAAGAGCGGGGATGAGATGACAAGTCTCAAGGACTATGTAACCCGGATGAAGGAGGGACAGAACGACATCTACTACATCACCGGAGAGAGTAAGAAAGCAGTCGAGAACTCTCCATTTTTGGAAAAGCTGAAGAGGAGAGGGTACGAGGTGCTGTACATGGTGGATGCTATCGATGAGTACGCAGTGGGACAATTGAAGGAGTACGACGGGAAGAAGCTGGTGTCGGCCACGAAAGAAGGGTTGGTATTGGAGGAAACTGAGGAGGAAAAGAAGAAAAAGGAAGAGAAGAAGGCCCAGTTCGAGACTTTGTGCAAGACCATGAAGGACATTCTGGGTGACAAGGTCGAGAAGGTTGTGGTGTCGGACAGAATTGTGGACTCTCCTTGCGTGCTTGTGACGGGTGAGTACGGATGGTCGGCGAACATGGAGAGGATCATGAAGGCCCAGGCACTGCGCGACAGCAGCATGTCGAGCTACATGTCTTCGAAGAAGACCATGGAGATCAACCCAGACAATCAGATCATGGAGGAATTGCGGAAGAGGGCCGAGGCAGACAAGAACGATAAGAGTGTGAAGGATTTGGTATTGTTGTTGTTCGAGACTGCGTTGTTGACTTCAGGGTTCAGTTTGGAGGAACCTAACACATTCGGCAACAGAATCCACCGGATGTTGAAGTTGGGTCTGAGCATCGATGATGACGCCACGGATGCTGACGCAGACATGCCAGCGTTGGAGGCTGATGTCGAGGAGGAGGGCTCCAAGATGGAGGAAGTGGATTAAGTGTAAATGACCCCCTTTCTTAGGTTTTATATTTTTTGGTTTGACATTTCTTAGCTGGGGGCTGTTTCAAGAATTGAGAATGGGTATCCTACCCTGCATTTTTAGGATCGCAAATAGATGAGTTGGTAATTTGTTGTAACTATCTCATTTGATTGGACAATATCCTCCCCTAAATTGATCATAATATCGACCTTTTGAAGGTCGTTTTCTTCATATCAGGCGTAATATCTTCGACTCAACTGTCTCCTATCTCCGGTTTATCTGCAGGGTGCCGTTTTTATTCAACACTCTTTTAGTTTTGTCTTTTCTATGTACTTCGCGTAGTCTCGAAACGGTGCTGTTCAGTCCTTGAGGCAGACATCTATTCGACGATTGCAAGAAGGAAATACTTTACTTGCTAAACCAGAATGACGTGCATAGCATTAAGTAATGTCAATAATAACTCAACCGAATAAGTCAATTCTAAATCAATTTCTGTTTTCGATTTTACAATGGTCTTAACAGATAAAAATGTATTAGGGTGAAACGAGACCAAGATGAATTTTTCACTAATAGAACTCTTATATTGTAATTCTTTTAAAAAAATACAAAGTGATTAACTGAAAAAAATTATAATTATCATATATTATTAAATCTTGGATTGTTTTTCTATTTTTTTGAAAGTTTTACTTATGATTCTCATTTACCAAATCTAAAATGAAATAATAATTCCAAGCTTACCAGAATGTTGTTCAAATTTTCTAAACGCATGTACAGCATGTAGATTTACATGTCCCCTAAGCCCTAAACCATGCTCACAAATTTCTCAAAAATGTCAACTGTTTCTTATTTCTCAAAACTCAAATCACCTAAGACATCTGTGACTTAGCAAAGCTCTCACAATTCTTGATGCTTAAGTGAGCATTTGGTATTCACATAGTTGTGTTCATATCTTAAAGCAATAGATTTTTCTATTCATTTTCTCAAAACTTGAACAAAAATAATATTAATGAATTATAGCTCCAAAAAACATTTCTATTTAATATTATTTAAAAATTCATAACTTTAATTTGGTTAAATAAATGTTTTTTGAACAAACCACATTATAATGTATAAAAATTTGTTGTAATTGTGTTGGTGGCTTAGTGCATTTAGAATTAATTTATTATTTTAGCAAACAAGACGGCTTTTAAAAAATGATTACAAAATATAAACTATTTATATGTATATTAAAATTAACGATTTTTATTTTTATTTTTTATTTTTGTTTTTTACTTTATTTTACATCTTATACATGTATATGATAAGATATAACTGATATATTTTCATACATTTATTTCTTCTCTTTAATTTTATAATCTTTAATTGAAAGAAATTAGTAAAAGAATATGAGATTTTTTTAAAATTAAATAACTTTCACTATTTATTATATTATTATACTTTAGAGCCATTTAACTAGCATAAAGATATTTTTATTTGGTATAAGTTATAATCACATCTTTAGAAAATTTATGCAGCTTTATATTAAATATATTATTAAACACAAAAATTATTTACAAAATACAAAAGTGATTTTATTTCTTTAAGGTCAAATTAATTTAACACAAATAAATATAACTAACAGTGATAATAAAGTAAATTTTTCTTAAACACAAATAAAAAAAAATTACAATAGATTAGTAGTGAAAATTAAAAATTAAATCATATTATGTATGTACACACACACACACACACACACGTATATATATATATATATATATATATAAATTGAAAAAATAAAAAAATATTCTAAGTAATTACTTAAGAAGTTTCTAATATGTGTGCTACTTAAAAGAAACATATCTTTTTAATGAAATTGTCCAAGTGTAGTCACTACATTTTATGATATCTTATTAATTTATGCCATCTTTGAAAAGCTACTAGTCTTTGTAATAACTAGCTTATGTTCTTCTTTATAATTATATGGTTTAAGTATTATTTTGTAATTTTTTGATTCCAAAAAGCTAATTCTGAAAACCATAATATAATTAATTTTAATACTTTTTATATGTATATTTGTGATTTAAAATTCTATAATTTATGTTAGTTATAAAAAATAAAAAATATTATAGTTTCTCTTTTTATCTAATTTTAGTGATATTTGAATTAATTTTATATTTAATTTTTATAAAATATAGATTCAATCAAATATATAGGCAAATCTAAAAAATTCTAACTTTTAACAAACCATAAGTAAAATGAAATTAGTACTAAATTTAAATATTCCTACAATAGTATTATATGATTTTTATATTTTTTTAAAAAAATTACAAGATTATATTGATTGGCTTTACACTATGGAAAATTATCTGCAAGAAAATGTTTAGATTGTAGGAGGTGGCAAGATCCTTACTATAATATTTTAATTTTTTTTGAAAGAATAGTAGCAATAATAATAATAATAACAACAACAACAACAACAATAATTAGCCATGAAACATGTCTAAATGAATATATTGTGCTATTAGAAGTCTTGGGATTGAATCCAAATATTAATATTGTTTATATATATATATATATATATATAGAATATTATTTATTTATTTTATTTTATTTTCTTAAACAAACTAACATGTATGTGATATTTTCAACTGAATAAAAGTGTCTTATTCCTATAAAAAAATAATTAGAATTAGAATTAGAATTAGAATTTAAAATTTACTTTATTTATTTTAAAATCTTAAAAAAATCTTCAGAGAAATCCAATTTTTTTCACACTTGCAACGTCTACCATTTCACTAATACAAACATTATACTAGATGCTACTTCTAATATAATTGCATGAATAAAATAAAACACAATCTCCTCAAATATGATATTCCACCTACATTCATCATCTTTGGACCAACAATACAATCCAATACAATACATGCAAACTGTTGAGAATGTTTAGAAAGATACAAGAGTAATGGTAAGTCATACACACACACAAGAGTAGTAGTAAGTCATACACACAAGAAGGTTTCTAAGGAGAGAGAGCTTCACACACACAATTCTATTGATCTGGTTGTCTTGTATACAAAAAGAGAAAAGAGGAGAGGATAAACAGTACTTCTCCACTAGACTCTAAATACTATAGCTATAGTAATTATTGTATTCTACAATAAATATTATGGAGAGCGTTGGCTACATTTAATGATCTCAACACTCTTCTTCGCTCATCATAATATTTACATAATATAAAATTTGTATAGAATTATGATCTATACTTTTTTGTGATCTTGCAAGATCAAGAATTGTTGCCTCATTAAAACCTTATCTAGGAAAACCTTATTTTATTTAAGAACAAAACCATAGATGAAGGAAAAAGAGTACAACATCATTTTCTTTAATTATTTAAAGAGCTCATTAACTTTCATATTCAAGAAAAGCAAGTTGCTGCATACCAATGCCATAAGTAAGTTGACGATGGTTGCTTAATGGGAGAGCTTTGGTGAAGAGATCAGCAAGGTTATTTGTAGATTCAATTTTCTTAATTATAAGTGCTTGATCAGTAATAAAGTCATGAGTATAACTAAAATACTTTGGATCAATATGCTTTGTCCTGTTGCCTTTAATGAAACCAACTTGCATCTGTGCAATACAAGCACTATTATCTTCATGCAAGATAGTTGGAAAATCATCATATGAAAATCCACAGGTTGTTTGAATGAATTTATCAATTGATCGCAACCAAATACATTCTTGAGATGCTTCATGTAAGGCAATAATTTCTGCATGGTTGGATGAAGTTGCAGTTATTGTTTGTTTCACTGATTTCCATGATATTGCAGCTCCATGTCTTAAAAATACATATCTTGTTTGAGATTTAGCTATTGCAATATCAGAGATATATCCTGCATCACAATATCCAACCAATTTTGAATTTTTAGATTTTGTATAATATAATCCCAAGTCTTCAGTATTTTTTAAATAATATAATAAATATTTGATGCCATTCCAATGTCGTAGTGTTGGACGTGCACTATGTCTTGCATGAACACTAACTGCAAATGCAATATCTGGTCTTGTAGATGTAGCTAAATACATAAGTGCTCCAACCGCTGCGAGGTATAGATATTGGTCTCCTAATATTTCCTCCTCCTCCTCGCATGGACGGTATGGATCATGACCATTACGACCACGTCCAACCATTGGTGTGGACAATGGATAAGCATCAATCATATTGAATCTTTGCAAGATTCGTCTAATATACGTTAATTGGTAGAAAAAAATGCTACCATCTCTAAGATGCATAATCTAAAGACCAATGCAGAAAGTTATTTTTCCTAGCATTTTCATCTCAAATTCACATATAAGTAGGTTTGTAGCTGTAACACATGCAGATGTAGTGCCCACTAGGTTAAGATCATCAACATATACAGCGATGATCACAAAACCAGTTTTATCTCGTTTGATAAACAAATAAGGGATTAGTGGATCACTTATAAAATTATTTGTAAATAAATAATCTCAAAGACGTTGACACCACATTTGTGCGGATTGTTTTAAACCATACAAGGCCTTACATAATTTAATACCACAATATTTTTCTGGAGCGGTATCGTATAACGTGTTGTCTTGTTCGAGAATACACTGGATATCTGGCTGTGGAAGGTATAGTTGTTTTTGGAAATAACAAAGAAACCCTAATAGATTTTATCCATGTATGAAGAATATAATTAAAATATCAATTTCCAAGTATTTAAAAACACTCCTCATAGTCATTTTAACCATACAATATTCCAATTGCTTTATTTCTTTTATAATTAAGTTGTTTTTGTTTTTCTTAACAGGCCCTAATCCTAGCCAGTGAGCTTTGACAAGCTGTAACTTTTGATCCAACCGTCCACTTAGTGTGAAATTTTGCACCCAAATACTAGTATAAGCCTTCTATATGCTCAAAAAATTTCAGCCCAACCCAACTTACAAATTGCAAGAAAACGTCCAAAAACCGCACTGATGACACTCGGCCGCAACCTTGAATTTTGATGTAGAAACTCCAGAAGTGATTTCTCCTTTGTCAACTGTTAACTCCAGCTCAAAATTGAATAGCCACTTGATCTCCAAATCTTCTATTACCAAGCCAAAAATTACGTCAATCCAACTAGTAGATCTTTAGATATCATAGAAACCCTATCCAACCCTAGACTGCCAACTTCCGACAACCCTTTGTACTAAAACCCAGATATCTCTTGATTGCATCGTTAGATTAA